AATTACTACTTCCGGTCAACCGAAAATGCTGAAAAGTTGATTCAGAACATCAAATTTGATTTGGGCCTAATAATTATATAAGAAATTTTATCAACGTATTAGTAACGGTACTCAACGTATCGTGTTTACAGACAACATAAACACACACACATACATACATACACAAACACACATACGGTTAAGATTGCAAAACTATGTTTTTCCGACTCAGGGAGGTGTAAATCGTCTAGATTTGTAAAAATCTAATTTTTTATTAACACGTTTTTCTTAACTCAGCTTCGCGTTTGTTTGTGGTTTTGTTGTTAAAATTGAAGTGGTAAAATTGTTAAAACGTGGGTACGTTCACCATCAAATTTCCCGACCCATCTGCCCGACCCACGTTTTTTGTCATCAAATGTAACAACAGTCATCACAAGAACCTGCACAGCTCGAGGAAGCACAAAATCTACGAGCAGTCATTGGTAGATCCCCTAGGGTCGGAAGAAAAAATATATTTTCTACTTTTTAGTCCACAAGAAAAACGTGGTTTTTTAAAAAGTTTTTTTTTAAGTATTTTATTGCACGATTACAATACTTTATACTTCGTATACGAGAGAGTAAAAAAAAGCCAGATGTACAGAGTCAAATTTCTTAAACATTAAAAAAAAATAGTCATCGTTTTCACGAAATTAACAATGTTTATATAGGGAATTCGGACAGGTCACTTTTAAAAACCTTCCGAAGTTTTCCAGAAGATAACGCCTATTTTTAAGACCCTGGCGGGTAATTCTACGACCTCATGAGTTATGATTGGGTTTGTACGTCCAGATATTTGTATTTTTTTTTTACAAAAAAGGTACTATGCTAATATAAAGAAATATGGCCTCTTCTCTGTCAAAACACTGTTTCGGGGTTTTCCCGAGGGTAGCATAATTTTTTTTTCCAGACCCCTTGGGACCGATGTACAACCTCAAGAGTTTTCAAAAGATTCCTACGTGGGAATTATATATATATATATATATATATATATATATATATATATATATATATATATATATATATATATATATATATATATATATATATATATATATATATATATCACTCTCTCTCTCTCTCTCTCCTCTCTCTCTCTCTCTCTCTCTCTCTCTCTCTCTCTCTCTCTCTCTCTCTATATATATATATATATATATATATATATATATATATATATATATATATATATATATATAAATCATCTGATCGCCATAAAACTATGGGGAGTTGTTAAAAATACTCCTGCTGAAAATGTTTTCAATTTCTTAGAGGCGGCGCTCGTGCAGGGCGCGCTGCGGATCTTCTCTGTGTATTGTACATAAAAATAAAAGTTAGATTCGGTATGACACCGTTCATCTGAGTGCCATGATAGTTTGAGATTTGATGAGAAAACCTGTAGAAGTTATCTGCGGGTGAAAGAAAAATTAAATTCGTTATGGGCGGGGCCCAGGGGGGTGGGGGGTGGTACTAGTTTTGTCAACACAAAGTTTGGTAATCTTTATTTGGGCATCCTTCGTAGTGAGTTAGGAGTACTACTATAATCAGCGGTTTAAACTGCAACAGACGTAGCCGCCCGCGCCCCATGATTTGTGATCCGGAGCTCCCCTGTGAGCACAAATGCACCTACGTTCGTTTAAAAAAAAGACTTAACTAAATACACGATAGGCAACAACAATATGTGACTATGTTGAGTACTTCAGCGCCCGGCAGTTGGCGATTTGGTGCTCCTGGCTGAACCATGAGCACTATGGCGCCTACTTCCGTTTTAAGTAGTGCTATGTATACAACGGGTTTCTATAGTCGCTCACTACATAAACCCAGGCGAGTCCTCGGAAGCTGGGTAGGGTGCTATTTGGCTCCCTAGGCTTTCCAGTGAGCGCTATGATGCGTACGTTCGTTTTGAAGAGTGTGATATAATGTGGACAAGATGTTGTAATCATAAGTCCCGCGCTATCATATGAGCACTATGGCGCCTTCTTTTATTTTAAAAAAAAATGCCCTGGGGTAGTGTAACGTGTGCTCCCGACAGCGCCCCACTACGTCCCTGACACCTGGGTGGTCGTCGAAGTAACCTCACTATTACGGAGAGTGATTAAAATACACTCAAAGCTTTCATACACTACTCCCTGGGTGTCGCAGAACTGTGTAAACTTTCAACATAAAAAACTAAACAACATTGTTAGTTGTATAGTTACATTCTTACGTTGCTTTGTCTACTTCCAATATATTCCAACTCCTGGTATGGGGATTTTGTGTCGTTGAAACGTAACTTACACGCGCTGTGTTAAGTATTAATCAATAAATTTGACACCTCTTTCGTTTTCCGCATACGAACATATTGTGTGTCATTCAAAACACGGTGCAAATATGGATATCGATTATACGAAACTCTTAGTTGCTGTTTCATTTATCTAAACCTGACCTTTAGTTAACGGTTAGTTTGGATCAACATAACATAAAATATGTGAGTAATTTAAATATTAATGTTTATTATTTATTGAGTGGAACAGTATTCAGTTTCCCAATTACTTAGTATCTCATACATTTTATGTCTTAGATATTTTGAATCATAACAATGTGCCCAAAATCGATTCCATTTAGAATTATTATTAAGTTAGCATGTTGATGATTTCTTAAATCATTATTTTGCATTCTACTAATTATTGTTTTTTACTTTCTAGTATATACAAAGTATAGAGAAAGTCTAGTATTCGTGCACAAAAAAATCGAGATTTCTGCAAATCTCGACGTTTTAGGGCTCCCTGAGTCGGAAAAACATAGTTTTGCAATCTTGTCCGTATGTCTCTCTCTGTGTGTATGTGTGTCTGTGTGTGTGTAAACACGATAACTTGAGTACTGTTACAGCTAGGTTGATGAAATTTCATATATAAGTATTATATCAAAATCGTAGATCCTTATCAACTTTTGAGTGATTTCCGATAGCCAGAAGTGGTACATTTTCTACTTTAAATTTTTCAAAATCTCATAAGTTGATTACTATTTCAGATAGATAAATGAAATTTCACATGTAAGTAAAAGTTCTAATTATCTACCTTTTATCAAATATTTTGAGTAATTTTCGTTTACTGTAAGTGGTAATTTACGCTATTTCCGATTTCTCAAAAAACTAATGTTAATTTATAAATTACTAATAATATTGCGCACTATTATGCACATTTTATTTGGCGTTCACCTGGTGGGCAATTCTTTTTTCTACGAGATTTTATTCAATTTTAAAAAGTTTAAGTATTTAACATGATTAAAAATCATGTCTATATCCCGAGTTCCCATCCCCTGTTGTTTTATATAAGAAAACTAGCGTTCCGACCAGGCCCATGCACTGGCATCTCTGAAAAACCATCTGCAAATGACAATGACTTGTGTGTTTAGAAATCAGCATATACCCGTCATTGCCCAACATAACCTCAACCAATCAAAACACAAAAAAGCGCAAACATAACACAAACACAAACGAAAACACAAATCCAAACGCAAACACAAACCCAACTAAAACCAAACAAATCCAAAAAAAACAAAAAAACAACGCAAACATAACACAAACACAAATACAAACGAAAACAGAAAAAACAACGCAAACACTAACGCAACCACAACCACAAAGAAAACACAAACGCAAACAAAAAAGCAAACGAAAGCAAACCCAAACCCAAATCCAAATGCAAGCACAAACACAACCACAAATGCAAACCCAAACTCAAACGCAAAGAAAACACAAACGCAAACAAACGGAAAGTGCTCATATTCTAGCCCGGGGCGCCAAATCGCACCATGCTGAGGCGCCGGCGGAACCGCCTGATTTAACTTAGTAAACGACTATAGTATCCGAACTTATTCTTAGTCTTAAGTGCTAACTTGAACGTAGGTGCCATAGCGAACACGGGAAGGCCCGGGACGCCAAAAAACACTCTGTCAGGTCACCGAAGGACGCCCGGATTCGGCTCAGTAAAGACTATAGATAAAGGTAAACATATAGGACATTTAGGAGCTTGCTTCTAAACTGTTATTGATTTAAAAAAAAATATTTGTGTTCATCTGATGGAAACTTTGAAACTTTAAAACATAAACATAGCTCTTAAAAGAAATTTTTTCTTCGATCTTGCCTTTACAATCGAGAACGTAGTAAAACTTTACACTGATAAATGTACTGTTAAAATGTCTGCTTAAAAAAGGTACGCACTATGGTGAGGAAAAAAAATTCCCCTTCGTGCGCAAAAGAGACAGACAAAAACAAATCCCCCCCCCCCCAAAAGACACAAAAAATAAACTGCGGGAATTCCCGTTCCCGAAAAAAGATGTCTTTTATTACTTCACCTGTCTTTGATTAAAAATAATAATAAGAAAACAGTACGTTCAGTGCATGGAATAAATAAACGGCAGTATTAAAAATACCAACAACATTGCACTTAATCAATCCCCGGTAATTATATAATTTTTTTTTCCCAACACCAAAACAAAGTAATAAAAAGTAAATTCTTTTCTCCCCGATGTTGTTTTTTTAAAGGGAAGTAACTGTGTTTTCCTAATCAAGGGACGTAATGAGCGCTAAAGGACTAAATGCAAATACTTTTTAGGCACAATTAGAAATTTTTTAAACGTTGCTACATTTAAAAAAGATTATGTAATGCTCATATTGAAAATTATTATTTTAAGTATGAAAAATGAAAATTCGTTTAAAACACTTCCAATATTAATTTTATAGCTCATAAATTTAGACCATGAGTACTTTAAAAATCTAACACTTGAATCCATGTAAGTATTGTTTTTTCTTAAATTCCTTTATAATCAACGACAAACATAATTACAAACATACAGAATTGAACTTTATATATTATATTCGAGAAAGTTTATGTACGTTTGCAAAACCTTTCGTTTTCATTTGATGTTCGAAATTATGTAAAGAATTTGTTCTTGATGTACATGTTTAAAATTGCAAATAAAAGTATTAAAAAAAAATTTCGAGAAAGTTCAGGGGAGATCACTCCCGGTTTATTAAATAAATGTAATAGATCAAATGACTTTTGATTTGAAAGTTAAAATTCATTTCGTCTAAAGAACGTGTTTTACAATGGTGGTCGTACTTTTTCCTTTAAAGTTCTTCGCAAAAGATACATACTCGTGGCTCAAGTAATTCAGGATGAGTAACACTGAAGGTAATTTGTGTTGTAATTACTATTGCTATTTGTATTTTTCTGTTTTCACTTAGGCAAATTGATCTGTCACTAAAATAAACAATACAGATGTGCTTATAAAGAGTAAATACCTATTCGCTCAAAATTTTATGTGTTAATAAGGGGGTCATCCATAAATGACGTCATTCTTTTTTCGACGATTTTTACCTCCCCCCTCCCCTCCGTCACACTTCGTCACAAAAAGCCAGACCCCCCCTAAAATGACGTCACACCTCAACCTACAACCCCCCTCAAAATTGCAGTTGAATTTTTTTAAAACATCGATATTTTTCTGAAATCTTGTCTAAACTATTACAATTTATTAAAACAGTTATCTAAAACGCAAAATAACGTCTAAAATTAGTTTTCTAACATTGCTTTTTTATAATGCAAAATTGTGACGTCGCAACATCTGACCCCCCTCCCTCTCATCACACATCGTCACAAAATTACGGACCCCCCTCCCCGCTACGAGTGTGACGTCATTTATGGATGACCCCTAACTCCGCGTGCTATGACATTCATCTCATTTACTTACTTAATAAAAAAATCGTACAAGCGTTTTTGAAATTGTTTTTGTTTTATCTTATAAAAATATGGTATTAAAAATTTAAGCAATACTAAAATTACACGTTTTACATATAACAATCTCTTTATGATTACTTAGAAGACAACGATGGCTTAACCACCAAGCATCTGTTTGAAAGCTTTCGGGAAAGTACAGCGAACTTAATAGAAAGAATAGAGAAAGAGTCACAAAAACAAAGTGGACAGATGAATTATCTCAGCCTACGTCATCTTGTGTGCTGTTTCCTCAACTCAGCATTTAAAATTGGGCAAGCAAAAGAAAACTTAAAGAAAATCAGCCATCTTGAAACATCCTTGAAATTATGTAGTGATGCAATAGACAACACCATTTATTATCATGGCAACGCATTTGATGTAGACTATGTTCCAAAGTATTTAGTTCTCCGTTCGGGGCTCCAGTTTTTGATAGATGCAGATTCATCTTTTAAGGCAGAGTGTGAGAGTGAAGATTCATATTTACACGAGTCCATTCAGTTGTTTGATGAAGGTTTAAAGAAGTGGCAACAAAGCAATGACTATAGTGGGTTCTACAACATCACACATTCACCAGAAGACCTCAGTCTACCTGATGGAGTACCGCAACATCATAATTGGTGGCTATCAGGTAAGCCAAATACTTTAAATTTTACACCAAGTAAAAATAATAGGCACGTACACAGAAAACAGTATAAAGAAGATTTATTTAGGTTATTATTAACTATTATATAGGTTACAAATCACTTTATTTCTTAGGGTGGGGGTGGGTGGATGGTGGTGGGAGGGAGGATTTCATTTTGCAAGGGCGGCTCCCGGCAGGATGTGATTTGGCGCCCTGGTCTTTCTCGTGAGCGCTATGGCAACAACATTTGGTCTAAACAGTGTGATAGACAACGAATAGGATGGGGCGTTACAAACGCTCACTAAATTGAACCAGGCGTGTCCGCCGGCGCCCAGGTAGGGTGCAATTTCGGCAAACAAAAAATTCAGTTTCGGCCCACAAAGGCTCACATGGGCCGCTGAGGGCCATGTAATACGTTTTATTTTAATTATCAGAAAAATTAACCAAGGTTAGATTATTAACTGGGATGTTTCTTTTTGTCCGAAAAAAAAATCCAAACAGTTTCGTCACTTTGCGAATGATGCTATTGGCATCTATTTTTAGACAATCCAATCAGAAAATGAGATCGAGCATCTAATAATAGACCATTAATAATGCTAACATATTGCATAAGTCACGCTGATGATTAAAACACGTAAAATAAATTTTTTACGTGTTAAAGAAAAAATCCTATTCATTCGTGTTACTTTAGCGAATGACGAAATCTGCATCATTGTTAACAGGATGCTATTTGGCACTCTGAGTTATACAATGAGCACGATGGCGAATGTTAGTTTTAAGGAGCCAGGGGCCGTACGCGGCGCCTATGCAATAGTGTAATCGGGGGGAGGGGTCTCCTGAGAGCCCCTCTACGTCCCTGACACATGGGCGGTCACCGAAGTGTGTTCTACCTCATTATTTTGGTGAGCTATTAATGTGCACTCATGTTTTCATACGGTTGTAAAGGTAAACCCTTGTCACGATATTTATGATCCAAGCGCAGGCATTGTTTACATTAAAAATAACTCACTTTTAGAAAACAAGGTCACGAGTCTAAGAATATAGGATTGGTAATGCATGGATGACACCCTTCTAATATATTTCGTCGGACTTTCTTCTATACCCGCGGCAACGCGCGGGGACGGGTACGCTAGTACAAAATAAAAACTGCTTATTATTAAACATTTGTTTTTGTATTTAATCGGATTATTTTTGCACTTGTAGCTGCCTTATAATATTAACAATCATAACCTTTGGAAGTAGTAGAATAGTAGCCTCTTCGGGGTGGGTTAGTGGGGCTGTAGACCGAGCTATTTAATGTATTTTTGGTTGTCTAGCTATTAGTGACTATATGGGCTAGAGTAAAATTCGGCTAATCAACGTGACATTTTATTACTTTTACTAAACATTACAGACACTGTTTCTATAACAAACTACACGCAAGTACTTTCTACATGCGCCGTTATTTAAATTTCTAATTTTTAATGTTATTTTGAGATATTACTTGAAAAAAAAATAGATGGGTTCTTCGATGTTGATAAGTAACTTTATAAAGACCTGGGTCTGATGACGTATGCACCTTTGTAGGAGTAGTCATCGAAACTGGCCACGGATGAATAGAGTCCCTACCAGTAGAGTGGAAAGGTGCTCATAGCTACAGCTCACCCGCCAAAGTGCAAAAAAAACCAGTCTATAAAACCCTAATTTTGTATCCTTCATCTAAGGCTTAGATTCTGACAAACAGTTTTTTCAATACAGCCTAGTCATCTGTAGAGGTGAATGGAAAATATTAGCCAGATGTAGAGAGGTTAAGTACCCCAAAATCTGTGTTGAAATTACCCTGCTTTTCGAATAAATTACAAAGGTTACATAGAGAAATACAACTGGTCAGCTTTGACCACTTTATAAATTTTCCCGGGTATGGCGAACTTTTTCTAATGTCCCTAGGTGTTTTTCTAACAGCTCACGAAGTATCAAGGGAAGTCGTTCGGCAAGAGTTTATATGCATTTATATATAGCTTATATAAAAAGAGTTTCACTCGCGGTCATGTTTTAACCCTCATTGAGGGCTTTGAGTCAACCCGACAGTATTTCCAAACGACCTAGCCGCTTACCTAGTAGCAGTAGCGTAGCGAGGTCGGGTGTCACCCGGTGCGGCACTTAATGGTGTCATCTCCCTGAGGCGTAGCGACCCTTCCCGACAAACTTTCAATTTTCAATTTGCACCCCCCCCTCAAACTTCCGATTTGCACCCCCCTAGAACTTTCGATTTGCACCCCCCTCCCTTCCACTCTTGTCGAGATTTGTCAAATTTGCTCTTAAAAGACTTTTTAACACTCGCTTTAATCACTTAAGTAAGTGGAATTATCATTTATCTCTATATATTTTGCTATTTTTTGCCTTGGTGTCACCCCCCCCTAAATAGTGTCACCCGGTGCGGTCCGCACCCCCCGCTCCCCCCCCCTCGCTACGCCACTGCCTAGGAGCATGCAAAAAATTAGCATGTAGTACGAAATGTAAGTACCCTAAATTCTTCGTTGAAATTAACTTTTGTTTCTCACATAAAACACAATTATAATATAGAGAAATACAACCGGATCCGTTTTGACCACTTTCAAGATTTTTCCCGGATAAAGCGATTTTTTCTGACACCCATCGTCGTTCTTCTACGACCTTACAGAATAATAAAGGGGGGGGGGTTGTTTGGCAAAAGCTTATTTTCAATAAATATCTCATATATGAAGAATTTCACTCGAGGTCATTTGTTAGCACTGGTCGATGGCTTTGAGTCGAACCGAACGGTAAATGATGAGTATATAAAAATGTTTGAAAAATTGAAAACAATTTGAAATTTTTCTGAATTTAGCAAAAAATTGCGGGCAAACACTTCCAGTGTTAATTACTTCAGTGTGGCAATGGATTTTCAAAAGGACATATATATATATATATATATATATATATATATATATATATATATATATATGCCTATATATATATATATATATATATATATATATATATATAAATCTTTTAAGATAAGTTTACAGAAGCATAAATTTCAATCATTGCTTGTTTTAAAGGGCCTACGTGGAAACTATTTATATCATATACTAACAACAGATACCAGAACATAATTTTTTTTTAAATTTGTAAGCATATCGGAAAATCTTAAGTAATACGTACTAGTGTACTTAACTATAAATTAATGACGACATTTCATTGGTAGTTCTAGAATTCGTAACGAAGGCCTATTTATTAACAATTTTTAGCGTTACCTTTTATTCATATGTTGCTTTCATTTCAAGTGTTGTGATGTTGCTTACTTGTGTTTCTATATCAATTACCGTTTTTTGTTCTTTTATTCTGATATTGTGAAATAAATATGTAGCATCGAATAGCTTTTATAAAAAGTTTTCTTGATATAATTGATAAAACTACACTATTACTTTATGTTTTTATTTCATTTTTAATTATAGGCAATCATCCAACAGAGGAGATTACAAAAAAATGTATAAGAGCTATTTCGTTAGAGGTACGTATTAAATTTATTAACATCACACTGCACAATAAAGCTTAAATACTAATTTGTTATAGATAAGTTTCTCTCTATGTGAAATAAAATGCACAGCCTGGATAAAAGATTCATTTAGTATTTATTGTTGCAGACCGGACTACGATGTTGCCGTCCGGTTGCTTAGTCGCCTCTGCCGAATACGTTGCTGACACTGGCACGGGCACTAGCCAATAAGGCCGTCGTTGTCTAGGGGTATTTAATGATTCTAGCCGAGTCAGCTACAGTAAAATAATCAACGGAACAGGAGACCTTCTGAGTTAATCTGTTTATTAATTTGCTGATTGCATGTTCTGCTGAGCGAGGCTTCCCCTAACCGCTAACGTCGGGCGCGCTTGTGCGAGAGAGAGAGAGAGATACTTAACTAACCTGCCTGTATTTATACCCCTGTCTTAACCCCCTAGCTATTCCCATGGGACATTGAGCTCAGAACTTGTGACCTAACAAATTATCCCCCCTGGCGCTAACAACCCTAGCTACTGGTCAGTATAAAGATTACCATTGTCCTGTCAGAGCGGTCAGTCTCTTTGAGCGTGTCACCTACTGTCCATCCCTACTGTTTACCCCGTAATTATCTAGTGAATGGATGTTTGTGGAATTCTGACCTAACATTTATGACAAACGTTCCTTAAATCTTAATAATTAAATTATTTTCCAATGCTGCAAAAAATGATTTGTGCTGATTTTCTCTCGTCATCCTAACACTAAATTTGAGGTATATAGCTGTTTTGAAATTTAGACTTATTTTTATGCTGATTACGGCATGTAGCAAATCTGCGACATCTGGCACTCTTGGACCAAACAGTAATATAAAAAAAAATTAGTCCGGGTCATTTTACTATTTTTACTCACACGTGTTTATCTAAATATCCATACACAAACCACAGAATATCACAAACTAAAATTCATGAAAAAATTGTAAAATTCATGAAAACTTTATTTTTAGTTGTTCGGGCATATAGTTACATAACACTGCTGTACCTGCTCACTGTATAACTCTTATGAATGGGTACCTTAAAGCATTGCTGTTATGTTTCTATTGCTCTACAGTAACACATTATATATAAAAGGACTTCCTCTATGTGTCCTGGTCACGCCCTTTTCGTGAACTCCTTTTCAAGGTAGGTCGCGTTTTAGCGACATTCGTCGTCAAGGGGTCTGCGATGTAAGTTTGAGGTAGCCTACAGATCGACACTTTAATATGCATACCAGTTAATGAGCACGAAGTCCATATGTAAATGAAAAAAAATACAAACACAATATAAATACCCTTTGGGAATCTGTGAGATAATTGACCCACAAATCTTCCCAACATCACCTCTGATACCATACCTAAACAGTCCTAACTCAAATGAAAAAATATGTCACTTCCTTTCCAATACTTCCTATGTTACAGGAGTGTATATACTATTTGTTTAAGGTTTAATTACAATATAAAAAAAAAGCAGGAGTGATCTCCTCTAAACTTTATCGAATATTCTTTTATAACACTACGGGGGATGGCAACTCGGTATACAGTCATCATTTTAAATCCATTTTTAATTACTTAAACTTTTAAAAATAGAATAGAATGTCGTAGAAAATAAGATTTGCACTCCGAGTGAAAGGCAAACAATTTATGTATAATAGTACGGAATATTAGTACTTTATAAATTCTTATTAGTTTTTTGAGAATTCAGGAATAGCGTCAGAAACTCAAAATTTGAAAGAAGGCAGACAATTAGATCTTTTACTTACATGTGGCATTTAATTAATATATCTGCAATAGTATTCAAGATATAGGCTTTTGAAAAAATGAAAGTAGAATAAGTTCCACTTTTGGTTACTGGAAATCGCTGAAGACTTGATTTAGAACTACCAAGTTGATATAATACTTATGTATGACATTTCGTCAATCACGCTGTAACGGTACTTAAGTTATCGTGTTCACAGACAATACACACATACACACACATACATACGGACAAAATTGCAAAACTATGTTTTTCCGACTGGGGGAGGTGTAAAACGTCGAGATTTGTGAAAACCTAGGATTCGATTTTTTTGCGCGATTACAATACTTCCTCTATACTTCGTATACGAGAAAGTAAAAACAGACTATAGTTTGAAGAGTAACGTAAACATGTAAACAAAATGGGCACTCCTCTAAATCTAACTGTCTAATTGCCACTAATAAATAAAAATTAACAAATCAATAAGCCGTAATTAAGGACGTTTTAGCTTTTCTAACATTGGTTCTTTAGATGTCTTTCATCCAACAGATTTCTTATTTTACATCCATGCCAGTTTATTCGTTTATCCATATGATCGTCTATCTGTTTACCTCCTTGAGCGCTGTTGTACTTGCCTTGTTTTAAATATGAGCGTTTGAGTCTCTACAGATTTACATTCTAAGTGCCTTTGCTATCTTACTGCATGCTACCTTGTTTGACTGTCTAGCTGACTTGATCAATTGTGAAAATTAGTACCATGTTTGTTTGGATGTAAGTTTATATCTCTCAAACGGTACATATGCCGTTGATATGTTTCTGTTTTTTTTTTCTTTGATTTAAAATGAAATGAAAATACTGTTAATTGGAAAAAAAAACTGGATAAGGTAAAAGCAACTTATGAAACAGTCTTCTTTCAAGCGAAGCATTTGAGTCATCTGCGAATATTGAATATAACGCAGACTGTATTAAGGGGTATGGCGTGTTCGAAGGTCGTTTGTTGAAAGTTGTAGATACACCATGTATTTGTTTTAAAAGGATGAGTGAAGAAGATGCTATAAAACTAGTCATGGATAAAATGCAGGATGCCGTTACACTCAACCCAGATGGTTATCATACATTCATTTACGTAGTTAAATTTGGAGAATCATTTACAGAAGGAGATGTTACTGCTTACTGATATTGAAAAGAATATTTGGCGACGATTTGTCAATAAATTTTTTGTCCTTGTATTGACATGTGGCGATAACTTTGAAAAAAGAGTAACCAGTTAAACTGGGATATCTTTCACTGAATGGTGCACAAAACAGCAGTGTGTATTGAAACAGCTATTAGACGCATGTGATGGAAGAAATATGTTGTTTTGTAATTTTGCAGGAGATGCAGAGAAAATTTATAAACAAAAAAGAAATCTTTTTGACATGATAGACAGACTGCTGCCAAGTGGTAAAATATACGGAAACATATTTCGATCAAGCAAAAGAGAACATGCTTAAAATGCTAAGAGAATTTAATATTCTAGCGTTGAAAGATAAAATACATAAAGAAACTTGCATTATTATGTCAAGTTATTCCCAAAATAATTTCGGGGAATCAGAAAAAAACGATGAGTTAGAGAAAATGCAAAAAAAAATCAAACACACTGCTAACAGAAATATCAGAAGAGGATAAAGAAAGTGAAATTCTGGTTAGTCTACTTGAAACTGTCCGTAATGTGAAGAGAAATATTAAAGAGAATTAAAAAATAAGCAAGATGTTGATTTAAGAACGTGACAGAAATAAAAAAAGAAAAAGAGCGTTACCGGAATAGATGGAAAAGTACAACGAAATAATCGAAATACAGAAAGAAAAGTCAAGATGACTACATGAAGAATTCAAAACGCAGATGCAATTAAATAAAAAAGCATTTGACGAGTTGAGAAGAAGGAAAAGTATGAAGCTGAAATTAGGAGAGAAAAAGAAATACATGAATTAAAATTTCAGAAGATGGAGATGGAGGCAAAACAAAATCAAGAAACTCTTTTTATAAAAAACTTGAACTTCAAAAGATGGCTATCGAATCTGAATAGCAAAAACTCAAGGAAGTAATAGAACTCCGGAACCAGGAAATGGTAAGGTAGATAGATTTAGATCAGCAAAAGCTTCAGTTATTGCAGGATGCTGCTATCCAGGAACATGAGGCGAGAAAATGTAGCTGGAATTAAAGCAGAAATAAATAAAAGCAGTAGTAGAAATATATAGAGTAGATAGAGAAGAACAAAGAGAAGAATTTTAAGGCAACGAGAAGAAGATGAAAAAAGACTTAGAATGCTTAAAAAAACAACAAGAAAAGACAAAGAAATTCAATTCCAAGTATTAAAAATTTTAAAAATCCAACCAGGGTTATTGCAAATAATTGAAAAGCATTTACAATTCCAAAACAAAATGTGACAAAAGTACAACGTCAAAATGAAATTGATAAACCGATTAGAAAAAATGAAAACCATGCAAGCAAGTAGATCTGTTGACTGAAATAGAAGAGGAAGATACATAAAGTGGAGCTCTAAAAGATGTATTAGAAACATAAAATTAGGAGAAAAATTCAATACCTGCAAACTGTTGTTCGAAAAAAAAGTAAAAAGAACAACATCGCTTCGAACCACAGATGCAAAAAGATAAAGAGTTTATTGCAACGCAACAAAAGATGTCAAAAAGAGAATAACAAAAACTTCTTCTTCAGGTGGACTTGAATAAAATGTCAAAGGAAGAATTTGAAAAACAGCGTAAGGAATTTAAGGGAAAGTATGAAAATGACGTAATAAGTAAAAAACAAATTTAAGAATTAAAATTCAAACAATTACAGCTTAAATCAAAGCAAAAACAAGAACACGTTTTAAAAGATTAATAGAACTGGAGAAAAACGCGATAAAGACAGAACTTTTTGGAAAAGATAGAGCTTGAAAAAAAAATTCATAAAATTTTAACAACAAGTTTTTATGTAAAAATGCACTAAAAAGTAGAAAAAAGATTATACACTACTATTTAAATAACTATAAACAAAAGTCTGGAGCCTCACAATATGAACACCTATAGGTCAGTGCCTTGGGTGTGTTGTTGCAAATTGATCAAGTAGGCTATGTGTATCAAGATTGAAATTTTGCAGATACGACAATTTAGGGCGACGCAGTATTCTTAACCACCTGACTGTGGTCCGAAGAACAAACAGGAGCAAAGAAAGCAAACGTTGCGTCGGCTTTCAATCGCTATTTTTGACGGGTTGGTTGCTGCTGACTTCGTGTCTCCTATATTAACTTTTGCTGCTTTTTATATTTTCTCCGATTCTGGGTTCTGTATGTGTCTGTCTTTTATGCATTACCACCCCTCTCATCACATCGCAGTGAAACTTTGGAAGTTGTTGTGAATATTTCTGTGGAGGTTTCTGCGAAAGTTTTTTCAAATTCGCAGCGTTGGCGCCCCTGTAGGGCGCTATTTGTTTTTTCTCTAAATACGGTATATAAAAACAAAAGTCGATTTTGGTTTGACACCGTTCATCCGATAGCCATGAGACTTAGGGGAGTTGATTTCAACACTATCTGGAAGGGTTCTGCAAAAATTATTTTTTTTAATTTCGCAAGGGCGGCGCCACGGGAGGTTGCGATTTTTCTCTATGCAAGGTATATAAAAATAAATGTCGATTTTGGTTTGACACCGTTCATTCGATAGGCATGAGGCTTTGGGGAGTTTATTAGAACACTAACTTGAAGGGTTCTGCAAAAATATATATTTTTTTTTAATTTCGCAAGGGCGGCGCCACTGGAGGGTGCGATTTCTTTCTATAAACGGTATATACAGTTTATCCGAGTGCCATAAAACTTTAGGGAATTGATGAATACTCCCAAGAAGGTTTCTGGGGTTGGGGGGGGGGGGGGTGATTGGTGGTGGGAGGGGGATTTAAATTTGCATTTGCTGCCCCCCGGCAGGATGCGATTTGGCGCCCTGGTCTTTCTCATGAGCGCTATGAAAACGTTCAATGAATACGTTCGGTCTAAACAGTGTGATAGACAATGGATAGGATGGGGCGTTATAAACACTCACTGAATTGTATCAGGCGTGTCCGCCGGCGCCCTGGTAGGGTGCGATTTGGCTGCAAAAATTAGTACGTAAACACATTGTAATTATATCGCAATTCTCTTTCGCCTTTAAATGGTATAACATCTATTGAACAATTATTACTTTGTTGTTATGTTTAAAAAAACGTAGCAATGTTTATAGAAGGAAATACTATATCATGTAATTTCTAACGACATACCAAGAGTTAAACTTTCTCTTTGTGAGCCCCGTGGGGCGTTCTTTGTCTTCATGAATGTTAAAGGGGCTGTGTAGGCCTACTTATGAAAGATTTTTCAATATATAGCTCATATAAGGCGTTGGTCAGTCGAGGTCAGTTTTGACCCACTCATTGTGAACATGGTGGCCGATTGGCAGTTGCCTTTGTGTTCTATTTGCCCAAGGCGAGCTCATGTCAAAGTTGAAGCGCCTGCGGCACACTAACCGGCATCCTATCTAAATTCGCTTTATCAATGCTAGAATATGTGTTTCCTTTTTCATGTAAAGAATCGATAAAACTTTCAATTGCTCTTGGATAAAAAAATAAATGTCCATGTGTGTATTAAAGAGACCTATAAAACATACTTCTGAAAATTTAATATTTATTTCATTTTCAGGTAACGAAAATGGGTGAAGCTTCTGATAACCTTTCCTCGAATGATTTAGACCTCATTCTCATTGGAAAAACTGGACATGGAAAAAGTTCAACGGGAAATTCTATTCTAAGACGTGCAGATATTTTCAAACCCAGTTATAGTATGACTTCTGGAACAAAAGAACCTCATTTTGAATGGAGCAAATTTGAGGGTAGGACTTTACAGGTCGTTGACTCACCTGGTGTGTTGGGTACTTGTGAGGATGAAGAAGGGGGAATAACTCTGGTACATGAAGCTTTACAGAACACCATGATGGCAAACCCAAAAGGTTATCACGCATTTCTTGTTGTACTGAGGTTCGGCGCACGCTTTACACAAAGGGATAGGAAAACTGTCGAAATCTTTAAAGGAATTTTAGGCGAAAACTTCCTTAAAGACTATGGTATTATTGTGATGACAAACGGGGAAACTTTTGAACAATTCTTTCGAATAGATGCAAAGCCTAACCTCGAAACATTTTGTGCTATTCAGAAAGGCTCTTTTAAATGTTTCCTAGAAGAATGTAACAACAGAATCGTTGTGTTTAGTAACCTAACGCAAGATGAGAATGTGAAGAACAGACAAGTTCAACAGTTAATTGACATGGTTGACAAACTGGGAAACGATGGACGCAGATACACAAACGAACACTTTAAAAGAGCTGATGAGTTTTACCAGCAACTTCTGGTTTCAACATCGATACCTCTGTTAAACAAACAGGTTTTACAAGAACAAAGTTTAATAATGCATGAAATAACAGCTATCGAAAAAGTACCGGAGGATAAGGATAAAATACTTAACCTGCAAAATATTTTGCCAAGACTCGAAAGATTATTAGAAAGTCTTAAAGAAAAAGACAGAGGAACCTGCAAACTGGCAGCATTAATAACAAACGTGAACGACGCTAAAATGTTGGTAAATGATCGATTGAAATTCTACACAAATATAGGAACCAAGAAAGCAAAGACGGAATTACAAAGCTCCTTGAATCTTCGAGAAAGTGAAATCGAAAATGAAAGAAAGCGTATAAATCAGATATTGAACAGAAAATTCTTTAAGTGGTTGCTTGAAGCAGAAAAAAAATTTGGTTATTTTATACTGTGTGCAACTGATATAACCACTGTTGTCTCGAATTTTATTTAACTGAAATAATCTATAATATGCATAATAATATGCTTCAAAATAACTTGTTAAATCAGTTAAGCAAGAGCGTAGCCAGGAAGTGGTCATAGGAGGGGTTCAAACATTTTTCCTTATGTATAAAATCACACACACACACACACACACACACATATATATATATATATATATATATATATATATATATATATATATATTTATTTATTTATAAGCAATGTTATTTCTTTTATACAAGTACACAAAATGAAAGTATTCATTTTGATTACTTCTTTATTTGGGATATAAATTTTATTTGATAAATATGTCGACATAAAGAAGGCACAAGAAAAAAAAACAACTCAAAAGAAACTAATTGACTCGTCCAGAAACTTTTGCACTTTAATTAAGGTAAGGCTTGAACGTCATACTCAGGGGCACAACTACAGTGCCGCCAGACCACACAATGCGGGGGGGGGGGCACGCCATTTAGGGGCCCATAGCCGACAATAATAAATTTTTATAGTTAAAAAAATAATTTTCTTGCATTTTTTGACTTGACGGTAAAAGCTTTTGTAAATAGCAAACAGATCTACTACAGTAGTGATGTTATACAGTAGCTAACAGATACTGTTGCGTAAATAATATATATGCCTGAGCTGTAGTGTGAAAGATAGGCAAACGTTTAAAACACTTCCATGATTTATTTCCCTTTTTTAAATGGTTAAATAGGGGTGCTCATAAGCTCCTTTTAATATATTTGTACTAAACAAATTAAAAATCAATTACTTCTCTTAAAAAATAACTTTAAAATATATAATAAAGATTGACGTAGCATAAAAAGGAAATATATTTAAAACAAATAATACAAATACTAGGAAAAACATAAAATAAACAAAACACGAGAAACCATTATACATACAAAGCTTTCACGCTGTATATTCTTTTGACCGTCTGAAGACTAGAGAGTATGGAACACAATATAATAGACATTAAAGATACATTTAGAAACCTGATCTGTCGGGTGGTCAGAGAGCTCGTGTAGCTTTAGCAGAACTCTCCTGCATGGCGCCAGATGTCCTTATGTTGGATGAACCTACAAACAACCTTGGCATTGAATAAATTGATGCCCTAGCTGATGCTATTCGTGATTTCACTGGAGGTGTGATTATAGTCAGCCACGATGAGAGGCTGATCCGAGACACAGACTGCCAGCTTTAGGTTGTGGAAAAAAAGACAATCAACGAGATTGACGGCGACTTTGACGACTACAGGCGTGAGCTGCTGGAGGCTCTGGGAGAAAACATCGCCAACGCTGCAGCGGCTTCTGCACAATCAGTAACATGACCGTAACCCCCTCGTCTCCTCAGATATACATACTTTCAGCATAACAATCTGGCAAATGTGTTTAAGGAAATTCAACAGCGACTAACAAATGGCTTGATGACACATCAGACACAGCACGCCATAGATGTTGCTATAACCAGATGGTGGGGAAAAAATGTATATGGCTCTGTGTTTACCTTCCTTACCATTTCCACAGTGATTTTAAAATAGATTAGCTTATTAATTAATGCATAATGAGGTCTCATTTGTTCAACACATCTTGATTAGCGGTGTTGATAACTAAGCTACATGTCAAAATTTTATTTAAAGATTTATACATGATCCTTGTCTTCTAAAATTGTAACCTGTTTCAGATTATTTCCTTTATTTAGTCATTTTATTTATGATGACGTTATTTTTCATTTGAGTACTGGTCCATAGAGCTCCTATTTACTTAATGACTTCCGTAATTTAAATATTAAATATCCTATTCAATATTTTTATGCTGATATTTTTAGATAAGATATGTAAAGAAGACTTCTAAATTGGTTTGGGGATATTCATTTGCTTTTACTAATTTCTAAATTTCAAGCTGTTGATGGTTTTTTAATGTGCAGGGCTAATACAGCCCCACTGAGATAGTTATATATATTGTTTGATCTTGTGACGGGCTGGAAATTTATGAGACGTATAGAAAACTAGTAAATTCTCGGTGAATCAAACCATTCTCTGCGGTTCTAAAAATGTTTGTGGGAAAGTTTTCCACATTGATTTGGGTATATGCTAACACTTTTAAAAATGTGTGTCTGTATGTCTTTATATTTTGTTTCAATCATGATTGAGGTATACATTTTAAAGTTGTCCTTGTCCTCTAATGTACAAAAAAATAAATGTTATTTACATGAATAAAAAAAAAAAAGAAACCTACATAATAAACGCATCACACCAAAAGATAGGGAAGTAGCATACAGACTGATTTTTAATACAACTCCAGTTTCACGAAATAAAAAGTCAAATCAAAATGTTAAAATAACATGTCAAACGTGTAAACAAAATATACAAGAAACTGAGAAACACATTTATTTAGATTGTATATTAGTACAGAAAGCAAATCTAACACTTGCAAAAATATTAAACACCACCAATCAAACAGACACAACAAATAAAGCAATCACACTTAATTTAATTAACACGACTAGACAAAGAACAGAAGACAAAAACAGACTAGTAGCAACGGCTATTTATAGATCGACTATATGGCAAATTAGGAATAAATTCAGATATTTTTTCACAAAATACACGGACAACGAGTTAAAAGAAATATTTCAAGCAACGCTAAGACATAGACTGGGAACTCTCACTTAACTGAGAAAAAAGAAATGTACAGAAAATAAATAAAGTATTAATTTTAATTTAGACAGTCTCAAGCCAAACATCACTCGATCAGCCCCAAAGTAAATTAACAATAGAACAGTCTTCTATTTCCAGGGTTTTAAAGTGCACAACCTGAATGGTAGAAAGAGATACACACCTCACCCCCCCCCCCCACACACACACACACATTTCCACCCACTCAACTGGACTGGCGTATATTTCAAGGTAGCGTGCTCTCATTGCCAAGGGTCAATTTTATGTCATGGAAAGTTTTGGAATGATAGATCAGTATGTGTATTACAAAGACACTTCTCCCACAGTCGGTTTCTATTTCTGTCCATGGGTGGCTACAATGTGAACTTTTGACTCCGCAGCACAGTAAACTAAGCAGTCAAGAGAAACCTAGTTTGCATACCTTATTTTAGTCTAGTTCTTATGCTATTTATTTTCTCCCTTTGATTATTATATATGCAATTGATGTTCATTGTTCATGTCTTAGATGCTGTGTAAAATCTATCAAATACATTATTATTATTATTATTATTATTATTACTGATTTGCATGTTTAAAACAAGTGAATTAAAAAAAAAAAAAAAAAAAAAAAAAAAAAAAAAAAAAAGCTATAATAATTCAAAACAGAATAATGCACTCACACATGACATGTTGTAATTTGTTTAAATTAAAAAAAAAAACTCGATCAGGCCAGAAATTACTATTCAGTGTTTATATATATATATATATATATATATATATATATATATATATATATATATATATATATATATATATATATATATATATATATATATATATATATATATATGGGGACCCAGAATTTTTTTTTTGCGGGGTAGAACTTTTTTTCTAGTTCCGCCACTGGTCATACTTTAATGATTTTATTAAAGTTACTTATACAGACTATATATGATTAAGAAACTTATATATTTTGTAACTGTGTGTGACCAAGGAGAAATGGATGTGTCAGCAATTTTGACCTCACGATAGAAAGGAAAAGTCTATGTAATCATACTAAATTTTTAAAAAATTGTTTTTAAAAATATGACAAGCGATAAAATTATAGCTACAATTTTAAAAATTAACGTCGATTAGGAACCATCGATTACACTCCTTTTCAGATTTTTGTGTTGAAATATTTAATAAAACCGCCCTCAACCTCCACCTTGAACTGAACTGAAGTGGCCAGGGAGAGTAAAACGATGAAAGTCATAACATTTGTTATCCATTATAAATACGAAAAAGGTAATCAAAATAAACAAAATGGCGAACAGGGAATATTTTTAGTTCGATTCAGGCTTTAAAAATTCGTTTGTATCTCCTTTCATTATAGTTGGCTTATTTTTTATGACTGTTGTGCTCAGATTATTACCTATTGTTTTTAAAACATGTTTTTAACGCAAGTTTTATTATTTTTGTTAGGCCTGCTCTACGGCTATACGCCATGGGCATGGCTAGTCTAAATACTAGATATCTAGAATCTAGATCATAAATCTAATCAGCTAATCTAGATCTAGATCTTGTGTCTAGTAACTAGTAATACGAGATCTGGACTAGTAGTAGTATGGGTAAAATCTTAGTTTAACGTGGTAAATTCGGCCAAAACTAGTGATGTGGGAGAGAGTGAATTAATGAATATGTCATTTCATTAAATATAAGTATATTTTCGTATATTTTGATAAAATATTATAGATAATTGAATAATAGATAACCATTTATGGTTAAATCAATTTAAATATCCTGAAATTAATTTTTATCAACCCTGTTCGAGATAGTAAATTTGCTATTAAAAACAGCAGCCATCTTTAGAAAATGTTATTGAGAGTAGCTTCCCTTTCATTTCTATTCGTATGAAAATGTATATAAATATGATTGTCTTGTTGGATAGTCCGTATTACAAAGCATTTCTTTTTTTAAATTCTGCCCTTTAAAAACTGAATTTTCTAACAAACAACTTTATTAATTCTAGAAGCATTGTGAGATGCAACTTGTATCGATGTATTAAATCACGTTTTTTTACTAGTGTTTATTTGATCCTACTATAACTATATAGTTTGAGTTTTTTTCTTAATGTTTGAATGTTCACTATTTTCATTTCAGATTTTTCTTTCATCAATTAGGGATTCTATCGTAACTTATGAAATTTCGTACTTCTCTTTACCTTAATTAAACCCCAACCTCCGTCATATTTTTGTTGTCAATGTCACAACAAGTCATAATGTAAAACATTACGCTTCACTCTGCCTTATCTAAGATCTCTAACCATAATTTTGACAACATTAAATGTTTGTCATCATTTATATATATATAGAGAGACAAAATGTATTATCCACAAGCTTCCTTCGTAAAACATCATCTAAAATAATGAGCCAGCCCAACCCTTAAGTGCATGTTATCATTATGGTCGATCGCAAGTCTCCACCTGCCAGACACATTTTTGTTATCCTTTGTTGTCAAATTGTCAATATCAAGTACCCAAGTGAGTGATATGGGGTTGTCCATAAATGATTTCAAATATGATTTGCTACGGGAGTGAGTGAAGATTTGTGACGTCAACTCAGGCGGCTCAGCAATTTTTGACGTGTCGGTCTCATGAAAAGAGGTGAACGGGGAAAAATATCTAGGTTATTGACGGAGAACCTCTATAATGCTTTGTTCAATCAAAATAACGATAAATAAGCATTGGTATACGTATACCTTGCTCAAAACGAATAATCATAAATGTTGCAAGCCTGCTAGTTTAAGACATTTGGCAAAACGGCCTCAACACATTATCCCCGCCAAAAAGGCTTTCCACCAAATGCCTGCCGACGAATAAGCCGCGTCTAATGCGGGGCGTTAGGAATACGGCCATTAGCATGGGCCGCGTTAGAGCACCAGTAAGCTATCGCGCTTTGTAAGATGACGTAAATACTTAAATTCAGTTTCGCTAAACTGCGCGAAAAGTTAGTAATGTTCCATCGTTTGAGGAAATTTATTTTCTTGGACTTAAATTGAAATACCATGTTGACTGTCTGGCTCTTAATTTCCGAATATCACTTTTAATGAATCAAGATTCAGAATTATAATTTACTTTAAGTGTCATCTTATCTTTTATTGTGCTTTTTATAAAGCGCAGAGCAGCTTCAAAATCGGACAGCCATCCTGTTTTTACCAAGCTTCTTTTGGAGCTTTATATGGGTAGTCTAGTTCTATACGGTGGGAGCTTAATACATTTTTAAAGGGCCGAAAGTCTCAAGACAGCAAGCATGCAGAAATAACCACGTATGTTTAAACGGACGAGTGATAGATGTGTTAGGGGCTGTTTAATGAACACCAACTTATGTAATCAAATTAAACGTCGCATAAGCGATAAAACGACAGTGCTTGTTTTTTTTTTCTATAAAATTAGCCTAACGGTCGGCGGTACATGACCGGTACATGACGTCACGCGCGAGCGTTAACTCGGTGACGATGTGCTAAGTGGGGGAATGAAAAGGTGGGGTTCAAGAAATGCGACTCAGCATGCTTTTTACATTTCTTGACCCTTCTTAATAGTGTCCCCACTGAGAAAATGGATCACCAATGAATGACGCGTCATACTTCTACAGCTGGTCTTTCTCCCCAAAACCATACCCTGTTTTCACTAAAAAAAAAACCTTACCTGTCTCCAATATCACATCGCTGAGTTCTACTCAACCTCTCCCCACCACAAATCACAATTTCTATCTGAAACAATATGTTCATATGTTTGTTCTGTAATAATGCACGTTGTCATTACTATCTTAAGAGCGACGTTATGTATGGGCGATCTAATATTGATTTGATTACTGCAAATAAAGTGTTCAGAAGTTCGACCTCCCAACAATTGTTATGGTCTTGGATGCACACTATTAAGTCTGAAAAGGTCTATAAGTCATTCATGTCAACTATATTGAAAAAAAAGAAAAAAATTACTATACAGGCATATATTAAAACAATACAAAACAATCATATTAAACCACAAAATCAACACAAAAGACATGCGAGTAGACAATTTTTCAAGGGATACTACTCTATTATTGTTTTTGAAACATGGCCGCTGCCTGTATTTACTCATTGTTGTCTCGAACGGGGTAGTTTAAAGTTTATTCCAGGATATTTTTGACTGGTTTGGTCATGGATTGTGATTTGTTATTCAATTATCTGTTATATTATGTAAAATATGACATACATATGGCCAAATGAAAGAAATATTCATTAGTTACCTTCATCGCACATTACTAGGTACGTTAAAATTTACGACGCTAAACTAAGATTTTACCTTAGTATGTTACGGCTTTTTAATATATTTAACTATTTATTAAATATAAAGATAACTAGGCCTAGATCTAGATCTATTCTAATTTATATAATATCTTAATAGATTCTGAGGTAGATTGAAACACTGACAATAGAAACCATGCTGTTTGTATTTAGAACTTTATTTGGGCCTCAGCCACCATGATGGAAACAGGAACAGGAAGTACAAGACAATAATACAAGGGGCATCACTCAAAAACAACATTATAAATATAATACTAATACAAGAAGAGTGAGTTCCCTTGACTTCACAATTCTCAATATATTACAGATTCTACTTAAAATACTAAATAAATAGTTGAATAATAAAGTAAATAGATCTAGACTCTAGATTCTAGATCTTTAGAATCTCTATCAACAAGTAGATCTAGAGTCTAGATCTAGTTAGTTCAGTTAGTTAAAAGTTATTTTTATAGTTAAGTAACTTTAGTATTACTTTATGCCTACACTAAACTTTATAGTTTATACCATAAGTATAAAGTTACAAAGTATAAGTAGTAAGACAGTATAAATTGATCTAGATTTAGATATCTAGTCTAGAAGTTATATATTTTAAAAAAAAATCTAGATTTCTATATTCAATAAATTCAATAAGTATATTTTTTATTTAAGTTTTTTCTATAATTATATTGCTTGTACTAATAAATAGTACAATCTATATTTAGATCTAATAGTAATAAGTAATAATAGTATCTAGAATCTAGTATCTCAGTATAAATACTATAAATACTGTAACGCAGTGGCGTAGCGAGGTCGGGTGTCACCCGGTGCGGCACTTAATGGTGTCATCCCCCCCAGAGGCGTTGCGACCCATCCCGGGGAGAAACTTTCAAGTTTTCGATTTGCACCCCCCCCCTCAAACTTTCGATTTGCACCCCCCCCCCCCTCAAACTTTCGATTTGCACCCCCCCTCAAGTTTTTCTCTATATATTTTGCTATTTTTTGCCTTGGTGTCACCCCCCTAAATGGTGTCACCCGGTGCGGTCCGCACCCCCCGCCCCCCCCCCTCGCTACGCCCCTGCTGTAACGTTTCTACGGCCTGAAAATATACTGTTCTTGCTTCTCTCAAATACAATAATCTTCTCTTCTCGCTCTCACTCTCAGTCACAGACTATCACGAATGATGAAGAATAAGTCGTCTTCTGCAAATCTTTATTTTACTATCTTTTTTGACCGGGAATTGTCTGTGTAGCGCGCATCTAACAAGACTATAGCGCCAATACGTGTGCTGCATAAATTACTGGCTAGGGCCGTCGTTTCTCCATCCCCTCTAAGGCTAACCCACCGGTTTATATACCCGACCCGCGAGCGTCTCGGATGAAACATTGTTCTCAGGACGAATTCTAGCGCTTACCTGAGAAAGTTTCCCCCGCTTTTGTGCTAACCGACCCCAAATAACCCTATATAAAAACTTAACGCGAACTCCTAAAATTCTAATAAGCTTATCCTCTGAAACCGCAGACAATTCCCTTTTCAATTATACAATTTACAAATAACATCAATAAGTTGTTCTTAAACAATAATACTTCAATCATGTAAATATTGTAAAAATATCATCAAATACACCCAATTAAAGTAGCTTTCCATAATATCGGCTTGCTCCTGACTAACACTAAGATATTCTAATTAAAGATCAAGCTTGGCCTAATAGTTCATCCAATTTTCATGCTATAATAACAACTATTTATTTAGATATGGATTTTTCTTCTTGCCCTACTAAGCACAATTGACTGATTTCTAACAAATTCACTACTATACTAATTAAATAATAATGACTAATTAGTATTGAAATAAAGTAGACCTACTGACTAGTACTAGTGTAGTATGTGTATCTATTAGTATTAAGTTTTAAGTTTTAGTATTACTATACTAGAGTCTATACTCTATATTTAAGTTAATAATAATAATAGATAAATTAAATAAATTAGGCCCATATTTTATTTTATAAATGTATAGCTGGTATAGACTAGTTTTAGAGACTAGTCATATAATAGTAAATAGTTAGTCTTAGTCCTTAGTAATTAGTTAGTAGAGGGCAGTATATAAACCAAGTCTAATCAATGATTAGTCTAATAGTATAGTTACTCTACACAAACTATAGTTATTAGGTATAATACACACAACCTCATAATTGTAAAATCATGACATTGGTGACTCAATTATTTAGTAGGACAATAGGTTGCATATTAATTTAATTTTAATAGTTAATACTTACTAAATTATTAGATCTGTACAAAACACATTTTATCTAGGATAATTTAGGCTATGGTACTGATGACAGTCCTAATATTTCAATTACATTATTATTATGATTAGGGCCTGGTTTAGGTAATTACTAATAAGACTTATGATGACTTATGTTAGTCTAATCACTAATAGATTCATATTTAATAGCAGTAAGCCTAAAGGCTTAGAGTAGTATTGTAAAAAAATAAAGTATGCTTAAATTTTTACAGTTGTCATATTACTTTTAATTTTTCGTAGGCCTATGTAGACTGTAGATCTAGATGCAGTAGCTTAGTAGTAGTCCAGTAGGCCTGTGATTGCGTAGGTAGTTAGTTTTAGTAAGTTAAACAAAGTTAACTAGGCTTAATAAGGCTACACTTTTAAACAGTAAAAATTACATGTAGCCTAAATAAAAGGTTACAGACTAGTACATTAAACAATATCCAACATTTAAATTTAATCTAGATTAGTCGTCTCAGTAATTTTAGGCCTCTTATAATAATAGTAAAAATTATTGAATAGAAGATTAGGCTTACTAGTGAAGAGCTGTTTTATTTTAGTTCTACTTAATTAACTTAATATATGACTTAGTCTGCTCTTAGTTTTATGTCTTGATCTTTTGTACTTAGTAAAAAATGCAGAATAATTAAAAAAGCCAAAAGGTGTCAATTGTCAAAGATGGATTAACTTACTAATCAAATACATATAATTATACTGATATTTATTCTAGTAGGTGTGTGAATTAATGATAGTTTTAATAGCCTAGTTTGAATATCAATTTTCAACATTTTTTTCAATTTTCAATTTTTACTTTCTCGATTATACGAAGTATAGAGAAAGTCTTGTAATCGTGCAAAAAAAAAATCGAGATTTTTACAAATCTCGACGTTTTACACCTCACTGATACGGAATAACATAATTTTGCAATTTTGTCCGTATGTCTGTGTGTCTGTCTGTCTGTGTGTAAATACGATAACTTGAGTACCGTTACAGCTAGGTTGATGAAATTTCATATATTTATCAAAATCGTAGATCCGTATCAACTTTTGAGCGAATTCCGATAACCGGAAGTGGTACTTTTTTTTACTTTGTTTTTTAAAAAAGCCTATAACTTGAGTACTATCTTAGATAGATAAATGAAATTTCACATGTAAGTAAAAGATCTAATTCTGTACCTTCCATCAAACTTTGAGCAAAATCTGTCGACCGGAAGTAGTATCTTACGCTATTTCTGATTTCTCAAAAAACGCACGTAAATTTAAAAAGAACTAATAATATTGCGTACTATTATGCACATTTTGTTTTGGCGTTCGCTGGGTGCGCAATTCTTTTTTCTACGAGATTCTATTCTATTTTTAAAAGTTTAAGTAATTAAAAATCATGTCTATATTCCGAGTTATATAAGAATATTCGAGAACGTTTAGGGGAGATCATTCCCGGTTTATTTTTATTGATACATTTTTAATTTTGTTTTTTATGATATATACATGACTTGACTCTTTTGAAGGTCTATTGTATTTGGTGACAAACTCCTTACATTAAAATATTAACAGTAAACTATTAGACCTATATATTTAATGAATGGTAATAGTTAGATAGCCCATACAATCCAATACATAAATACCCATCATTGCTTTATGGTTTTTATACGACAGACAAATATTTTTATTTATACATTTAAGAGTTGAGAGTATGTAAACATAATGAGTTTAATATAACAGTTTATGAAATTTATTTGTTTTTTTTAGATACTCTGGAATATAAAATTGCATGCAGAGAAGACAAACGTCAAGATGAAGTTCAATTTAAAACTGATAAAAGGATACATGTTGGACCCAAGAAAACTTGTTCGTAGAGAACAACTTTTTAAAATTAGTTCTGAATCATTTTGGTAATTAAAAGCAGAAAATTATTAACGTTGTTATGTTTATTTTTTTCAGCACTGGTTGTATGTGCTGGTGTATGCGGAAACTAATTATTGCTACCTTAATTTAATAATTAACTTTAACTGGTGCACTATAAATAGTTTTTAAGAATATGGCGTTTAAGTAGATTTCACCTAGTTTTGTTAGCTCTGCATATAAACAAATTGTATGGTCAGGAAAATGTCAAACAGCTTTTACTGTCAATAACCAGTCAGGTACCAGTTAAAGCTGGTTTCAATTTGAATCAGAGACAACCTAAAGGATTAAGATTTAAACTCAAGAACTTTTGCTTTAGCAAATGTGTTTACAAATATGTGGTCCCACTATAAGTAGTAATTTTGGTTCAAAAATATGCTTTCTGGCAACAAAAAGTGGAACCACGTGGGGAACCACTTTTCCTTTCTATTTTGGCACTTTTTAACCCTTTATTTACGGAATTAAGTTCTGAATGAATTTTTTTCTGAAACAGTGTGTTATTATATTTCTTTTGGCACACTTATAGCATATATCAAAGGAAATTTAGTTTCGTACATTTTTAAAGGTCCAAATATATATTGGTACTTATAATAAGTACAGTTAGGAATGTAGGACATTTTTTCTAAAATATTTATAAAAATTACAAAACAGAAATAAACTTCAAAATTAATTATTAATAACATGGCAATCATTATAGCTATAATTTTTGTCGTTTTCACACATAAACACAAGGGGTTTCCATGGTAACACATCTTAGACATTTCTTCTTACTGTACCAAACACGTAAAAGGTGCCGACATGTCATATTCCCATATTCTTATTATTATACAAAATGCTGCATCACGGGCCAAGTGTCTTTTCGAAACTCTGGCAAACCGAAAGCTTAGACCACTTAATTAGGAAAGTTAAATTTTGCATTTTGTTCTTATTTTTTTAAAAAGGCTGCTTTTATAAACACATTTCATAAATGTGTGGAATTATTATTTAGTCCTATTTAATGTGTGCTTTTTTGTCTGTATCTACCTGGTGTAATCTACATAAAATATTCATTCTCTCTGCTGATGCAAACACGCTATTTAGATTAAATATTAAATCAATTTTTAAGCTTTGACTTTTAGAAAATAAAGATTAGTCGAAGATAAAATTGTCCAAGACAAAAATGGTTTTCGTCAACAATAATAAAAACTGACAACATTGTGTGTACAATGTAAAACACTGAGCCCTATACGTTGTAAAGTAAAATGTAAGACTAAGATTAAAGCAGCAAACTTGGGGCATAAAAACAAAAATTTCTAAGTAAGGAAAACTAGAATATTTATTTAACAATCGCAATATTATATAACATTGCAAAGAAATACACATGTTGACATATTTTAACACTAAAACACATTTTTATGTTGACATTTACAAATTAATATGCAGCTATAGCAATAGATAAACCAACAAAAACATTATTAGGTTATGCAAATAGTTGTTGCTTTTGGTTAAGTGTAGTTCATAAGAACAGTTGCTAAAATGTTAGCTGAGTCAATTATAAAGTAACCAAACTTTTTTACGTATACGCCAACTTTTTCAAAAAATGTTTTTTTCATATTTTTATGCAGATTTTTCGTTTCACATTCAATTTGAGTTGCTTGTCGATTCAAAGTGCTTAGGGTGTGCGCCGTTAATTGCTGACTTCCTGTGTTTTTATACAGTTCTAATCCAGCATTTACCAATTTTTTTGTGTTGTTTGCATTTGCTATAAAATCTTTCAGTTTATCAGTTCCCCTATCTTTCTCTCTAAGTCTTTTTATTAAGTTTTCAAGTCTTGGTAGAATGTTTTCCAATGAATCAATCTTTTCGCTTTGCTCTGGCAAAATTTCGCTAGCAATTATTGCTTGCATTATCAAACTCTGTTCCTTTAGAACTTGTTTGTTTAACAGAGGTATCGATGTTGAAACAAGAAGATGCTGGTAAAACTCATCAGCTCTTTTAAAGTGTTCGTTTGTGTATCTGCGTCCATCGTTTCCCAGTTTGTCAACCATGTCGATTAACTGTTGAACTTGTCTGTACTTCACATTCTCATCTTGCGTTAGGTTACTAAACACAACGATTCTGTTATTACATTCTTCTAGGATATGTTTAAAGGGACCGCGTTGATCAGCACAAAATGTTTCGAGGTTCAGTGTTTTATCTTTTCGACAATTTTGTTCAAAAGTTTCCCCGTTTGCCATTACAATAATACCGTAGTCTTTAAGGAAGTTCTCGCCTAAAATTCCTTTAAGGATTTTGACAGTTTTCTGTTCTTCTTGTGTAAAGCGTGTGGCGAACCTAAGTACAACAAGAAACGCGTGATACCCTTTTGGGTTCGCTAACATAGCGTTCTGTAAGGCCTCATGTACCAGAGTTATTCCCTCTGCCTCATCCTCGCATGTATCCATTACACCAGGCGAGTCAACGACTTGTAAAGTTCTGCCCTCAAATTCGCTCCATTCAAACTGTGGTATTTTTGTGCCAGAATCCATGTTGTAACTGGGCTCAAATACATTTGCTTGTCTTAGGATTGAATTACCCGTTGAACTTTTTCCATTTCCAGATTTACCAATAAGAATGAGATCTAAATCAGTAGAAGGAGAAGTAATAAAATCTTCAGCCATATTTTAACCTGAAAAGGAAATTGTTTTTTTTTTATTCCTACTCTGCATAGCCGCAATTAATATGTACTTTAATATACATACAAGAACTTGTAGTTTGTAAATAAAAACAGTTTATAAAGCATTGTAAGGTTTTTAAACCAACACTATGATGCAAAAAAATTGATGTTAAAAAAAGATAAAAATAGTTTTGTTAAGAGATTATAAAACAATAAAAATGAAATAGCATTTTTAAATAATAAAAAAAATATACAGCTAAATATATGCAGTATTTACAATGTGGAATTAAATATGTTTAAATCAAACAAATTGCTACCAAATTTTTTAATAAATGTTGAACACTTTTAAAAAAATCCAACATCTGATTCGCATTGTAATTTTCTAAAGTTCTCTTTTATTTCGAGCAACTTCTGATCGTTTGCCACTTCTGTTTCACAATTTATTTGCAAGTGATTGTTTTCGAGCGATAAGTCAGAATCGGCAGCACTATTGGGTTGTAAATCTTTTGATAACTCGATAATGGTGTTTGTAATATATGTATTTGTTGCTTCAACATTTTCCCTGAATTCTTTTATTAGAACTGAATTATCGCTGATTTTGCGGAATTCTAATGATAGCTTTTGTACACACTTTTGTATTCGATCTAACGATGTTAATTTATTTTCCGTTGTGTCGTTGTTTTTAAAATTGTGTAGTTTTTGCAAAAGCCAACTTTGATAAGTAAATAATTTCTTTTCATGTGAGATTGATTCTGTTAAATCGTTTGCTTTTTGAAAATGTTGTGTTGTATATCTGCTAGTATTAGCTTTAAGAGCGTCAACAGCTTTGATTAGGGTTTCTAATTGATTGTTTTTAATTGTTTCATCTTCTATTATATTATCGAACACTATGACTCTGTTTTTGCATTCTTTTAAAAGTTTTTTAAAATATCCATTTTGTTGTGTTCAAAATTCTTCAATAGTTAACCCTTGTGTTTTTGAAAAATGTGCAAAAGTATCACCGTTGCACATTACGACAATGCCGTGGGTTGTGATGACATCTTTTCCCAAAATACTTTTGAGAATCTTAATAGAATCTTGTTCTTCCTTGGTAAAACGCTGAGCAAACTTGACTACAATGAGGAAAGCGTGATAGCCTGATGGATTGGCTAAAAGAGCGTACTGTAAAGCTTCTTTAACAAGTTCTACTGCACCAGTTTCATCAATATCCGTGTCTAAAACACCTGGACAGTCAACCACTTTTATAATACGACCATTAAATGTGGTGAAACCTGTTTGTGGAAAGTCAGTAATTGAAGTCGTGTTGTATGCGCTTTTAAATACGTCTAGTTCTCTCAGAATTGAATTTCTGGTAGCACTTTTTTCATTCCCAGTTTTACCTATTATTATAAGGTCCAAATCAGAATGAACTTCCATTTGAAGCTGAAATAGATTTCAACACATATCTACAGAGGAGAAGAAAAAAAAAAACGTTTCACCTCTAAGATACAAAAGTTTATTTTTCGTTTAAAAATACATTTTAATCACGTATGCTGAGACCATGCGCTAATAATATTCGTTACACACAATACCTTTAAATAATCACAGGGTAGGTTTTAAAATAAATGAAAGATATAGTTTGCCCCTAAAAACAATATCTCTACAACACTCCACCACAGTTTAAAATGTGTTGTGTTCCAACTATTTTAAAATGTTGACTAAACTAAAATTATGCTATTTTTATAACATTTCCAAAGGTGTCATATTTTTTTGGTCGATATTCACTTTATAAAATACATTCACATATTAGCTAAAAGTTTAAAATTCACACTTATTTCAGTCATGTAATACTGTGTTTATTTCTCTCACATTGCATATGCTCCTATGCTGAGATAATATTTTCCTGTGCGGGACATCATTGTGACAATTAATCTTAAGAATATATACCTGAATCTTCTTAGTCATTGCGAATTAAATTCTATTTCCAATAAACATTTCTTTCTTTCATAAATTCTTGTTGTTTGGTGGTGCTTTGGCTATTGTTAGAATGCAGTTATATTGAGTCTCAGCGCCCATTCATAGAAGTAAATTGTCAGGACAACTTATATAGCATAAATAAAAGTAAACATTGGAATAACAACTCTTTCATGTTGTATTTCTTTTTCAATTTGAGGTCATCCTTTTATGACGTCCATAAAAATTTGAATTTTGGTTCCACCCACACGCGTCCACTTTTAACGAACCTCCACCCCTATGTTGACGCCATTTTTTTTATCTCGCAAACAAAGCTGCCAAATTACTAATTCGTTAAATTATAATGTGTACCCTTTTCTATGCTATTAATTGAAAATTAATATAGGGATTTGATATTTTCAGTAACATCTTTACAAGCTCTAATTTAAATACAAACGCTAATCATACCATTTGGTTATAATTTCTAAAGTGATAAAAAAACTTTACATTTTGTAAACTCCAGCTCAAGATATAGGTGTAGCAGAAAGTGCAGTAGATATAAGAGATGAAGTTGTAGTTACAAGTTCAGTTGTAGTTGAGGTTGTAGTCTAGTTTATGTAGTTGCAGTTGCAGTTGTAGGTGTAGTTGTAAGTGGTGGTGTTTGTGTAGGTGTGTGTATGTATGCGTATGCATATACATGTGCATGTGCCGGTGCAGATGAGAAGTGTAGTGCAGGTGCAGGTGTAGATGTAGATGTAGGTTTAAGTGTAAGTGTAAGTGTAGGTGTAGGTGTAGGTGTTGGTGTGGGTGAGGGTGTGGGCGTGGGTGTGGGTGTGGGTGTGGGTGTGGATGTAGGTGTAGGTGTAGGTGTAGGTGTAGGTGTAGGTGTAGGTGTAGGTGTAGGTGTAGGTGTAGGTGTAGGTGTAGGTGTAGGTGTAGGTGTAGGTGTAGGTGTAGGTGTAGGTGTAGGTGTAGGTGTAGGTGTAGGTGTAGGTGTAGGTGTAGGTGTAGGTGTAGGTGTAGGTGTAGGTGTAGGTGTAGGTGTAGGTGTAGGTGTAGGTGTAGGTATAGGTGTAGGTGTAGGTGTAGGTGTAGGTGTAGGTGTAGGTGTAGGTGTAGGTATGTCAATCATTAAGTATTTAATGTAGTCGATTGGTTAAAACAAGCTGTGTTACTTAAAATAAAAAATATTAAAAGCTTTAAATTATAAATTGAATTTTAACAAACAAGAAAAACAAAGAAAAATACAAATCACTTACAGTAAAAATTAGCAACTCTTACCTTAACTTTGCATTGATCTGCTGTATGCGTTCGAATACTTGGCTTGAATAAAGAAAGGCGTAAGCGATTTAAAGAGATACACATCCGCTTTGCTGGAATGCTATATATATATATATATATATATATATATATATATATATATATATATATATATATATATATATACATATCTACTAGCTGTACACCAGTGCTCCGGTGACTCTTTTCTAAATAAGCCAACTTAAGAACAGAACAATAGTAAACACAACACAAACACAACACAAACACAACACAACACAAACACAACACAAACACAACACAAACACAACACAAACACAACACAAACACAACACAAACACAACACAAACACAAACACAAACACAACACAAACACAACACAAACACAACACAAACACAACACAAACACAACACAAACACAACACAAACACAACACAAACACAACACAAACACAACACAAACACAACACAAACACAACACAAACACAACACAAACACAACACAAACACAACACAAACACAACACAAACACAACACAAACACAACACAAACACAACACAAACACAACACAAACACAACACAAACACAACACAAACACAACACAAACACAACACAAACACAACACAAACACAACACAAACACAACACAAACACAACACAAACACAACACAAACACAACACAAACACAACACAAACACAACACAAACACAACACAAACACAACACAAACACAACACAAACACAACACAAACACAACACAAACACAACACAAACACAACACAAACACAACACAAACACAACACAAACACAACACAAACACAACACAAACACAACACAAACACAACACAAACACAACACAAACACAACACAAACACAACACAAACACAACACAAACACAACACAAACATAACACAAACACAACACTAACACAACACAAACACAACACAAACACAACACAAACACAACACAAACACAAACACAACACAAACACAACACAAACACAACACAAATACAACACAAACACAACACAAACACAACACAAACACAACACAAACACAACACAAACACAACACAAACACAACACAAACAACACAAACAATTTTTCTCTCCCGGTGTAATGTTTTTTTTTATAAAGGGAAGTGATTGTGTTTTCCTAATTTATAAAGGGAGGTAAGGAGTGTTAAAGAACTAAATGTAAATAATTAAATTTTTTGTGAAAGGTGATACATTTAAAGAAAAAGTTTAATGGACATGCTAACAATTATTACCGCTAGTTTGAAAAATGAAAACTGTTTTACAACGCGTTCAATGTTAATTTTTTAAATCATGAATTTTAGATGATGAGAACTTTAGACTTTGAAAAGTTTCGTCCGCCCGTCCGTTGTTCGCGATCACAAACTTAATTGAACTATATTTTAGATTATTACACTTAGAAATTTTAAAGCATTAAGAGTAAATGATTTTTTTGTTCGTAGAGGTTAAACGGGATACTCAGGAGAGCGAAAGAGAGAGAAAGTGAATTCGATGAAAATCAAGAATAGGAACTAGAGTTTAGTGTCATACCAATTCTTCTTTATTTGCCAGACTAATTATCTCTGGAGTCCTTACCAACCGATGTTTAGCTTTTTGCTTATTTCTATCTTTGTACACATCTATCACACACGGACGCTTCTATGCCTTTACCTTAACCCTAATCTATATTTCTACCACTACCATACCCTTAAATGTACCCATAACGATATCTATAACCAAAATTATATCCATGATTGTGTCAATAATTATTTCCATAATTATTTCCATAATGATATCCTTACTTATATCCCTATTGATATCTATATTAATATCTATTTTTATCAATTTTATCAATATCCATTTTAATTTCACAATCCATATCCGTATCCGTATCCGTATCCGTATCCGTATCCGTATCCGTATCCGTATCCGTATCCGTATCCGTATCCGTATCCGTATCCGTATCCGTATCCGTATCCGTATCCGTATCCGTATCCGTATCCGTATCCGTATCCGTATCCGTATCCGTATCCGTATCCGTATCCGTATCCGTATCCGTATCCGTATCCGTATCCGTATCCGTATCCGTATCCGTATCCGTATCCGTATCCGTATCCGTATCCGTATCCGTATCCGTATCCGTATCCGTATCCGTATCCGTATCCGTATCCGTACCCGTATACGTACCCGTATCCGTACCCGTATCCGTACCCGTATCCGTATCCGTATCCGTATCCGTATCCGTATCCGTATCCGTATCCGTATCCGTATCCGTATCCGTATCCGTATCCGTATCCGTATCCGTAATTAACCATAACCATAACCGTAGCCGTAGCCGTAGCCGTAGCCGTAGCCGTAGCCGTAGCCGTAGCCGTAGCCGTAACCGTAACCGTAACCGTTACCGTAACCGTAACCGTAACCGTAACCGTAACCGTAACCGTAACCACACCTATTATCGGTTCACGGTCAAAAACCCCCTGGACATAAACCCCCTGGACTAAACCCATCCGACATAAATCCCCTGGACATAACCCCCCCCTCCCGACATAAACCCCCGGGACAAAAAACCCCCGCGACATAACCCCCTGGATAATAACCCCCCGACTGAGGTTTATATAAGAAAATAATAACGATGATGAGAACCAAAAAAATTAAACTAAATTGGTGTAACTTTTAACTACTAACGATTTTTGTGCCGATTCAAAAGTAGGATGTTTTTGATTGGAACTAAGGAGAACCTTATGGTCATGAATACAAACATGCAATCAATTTCTATCATGATTGACTTGAAATGGCAGTGATAAAAAGTATTGAACGGGTATTTCCAGACTGTTAGATAAAAGGATGCTTTTTCCATCTTAACCTAAACATATATAGAAAAATACAGGACTCTGGTTTTCATAGCGAATTTGCTCTCAAGCTCAGAATGCTACCTGTGTTGGCTTTTGTGGCCATGAACACATTAGTTACGTCTTTTAATAAATTATCGGACATTTCCCGATTGCAGATTGTTTCGAGGACTACTAAATTGGCAGACCACTACGTCGTCGTCGGAGACAACCTATTTCCACTTGATATGTGGAACATGCACACACGTGCTGAAGACCATATGCCAAAGTCTAACAACTCATTTGAAGGCTGGCACAGAAGTTTCCAGTCCAATATGTGATGTTGCCACCCAAGAGGTTTATTGTACACAGATAAATTCAGGTCACTGTTTACCAAAAAAGAAAAGTATATTGATAGAAGCGCTCGAGATTTCAAATGTTGTTAAAAATTTAATAAGCCAACCAATATAGAGTATTTGTGAGACATCGCTCAAAAACTCTTTTTTTATAAAATTATAATAAAACAATGTTTTTTCTAATGTTTGTTTTGTTTTTAATTATTAATTTTGGTTCTAATCATCTATGGTTTTTCGTTATATAAACCTCAATTTGGAGGCTTTCGTCCAGGGGGTTTATATCGCGGGAGTTCGTGGGGGGGGGGGGGGGGAGTGTTGTTCGGGGGTTTCATGTCGCTGGGATTTATGTCCATGGGAAGTTTTTGTCCAGAGGGTTTTCGTCCAAGGCGTTTATGACCGGACACCCTTAAATCCACACTCACATCCGTATTGGATGTTCTGTATTAGCCATATTTAAAATTATATAAAAAACTAGACACTGTTACCTCATTGTTCGATGTATTTTGACAAGGTTATTTTAGACGTGACTTTTCGGTAGAGGGCACAGCTGGTGGCTGTTATGAAACCTAGTTTTAAGCTTTTCAAACCCGTCTAACTTTTGACATAGAATCGTAAGGAGATTTCCATTTCTTTTGTAAGAGATCAAATTTCCATTGGATCAAAACAAAGAGGATAGATCAATGTTAATGACACTTATTTATTTCAGATAAATAAGTTGAATTATAATTTGTTCAGTAGGATTCCTTTTAGAAAAAAAATAAAACTATTGAACGTATTCAAACTCCGGTTTGCCAAAAAAAAAAAAAATGAAGAAAAAAGAACCGGTTTTGTTCGAACGCTTTTATGATCCGCGGTATCAATGAAGACGATCGCATTAATAGTTCGTGTCTTTCAGACAAACGTATTGATACTCCGTACAAATAAAACTCTGAAGGGGTAAGTTAGAGGAACAAATTAAATTCAAATACGTTCGTGCCATTGTCCCACTATGAATGCAGTAAACGGACACGAACTAACATTTAAATACGATCTATTCAAGCAAATAATTTCCGAGTGGTTGATGCGATTCAATATTTTAACTGCCTGTAATTTATGTCGCGCTCCGTTGTGAATGCGTTAAAATGACGGATAAGCATACATAAATTTTATGTGAGTTTAATTTCTAAAGAAGGTTTTTTTCGCGTAAACATTTGATTCTTTTGATAGAAACTTTATCACGTTTTTGGGACGAAGCCAAAGTTGTGTTGACACATGGCTGTCATGAGAATGTTACATTTTCAGGACCAAGGTTTTAAGTTACAGTTATGTCCCATTACTGTAACTAATGTAAATATTACGATTGTTAGAGCCAAAAGTCGCCCCATATAGACAAAGCAAATTTAGCAGAAAACTAGTCTTCTGATCGACGGTAAATGCCAAGCCTTTGGCTACTGTTAACGGGGTAATTTTAATTCTTGATATAATAAATAGAGCCCTAGAGAATATAATGCATTTAATATAGCGGGGGGTCATCCATTACTGGGTTAAATAAGGAACCCCAGACCGATCCTCCCCTGTTCTCGTGAGTTTTGAGGACAAACTCACTCCCACAACCCCCAATGTGTACGTCCTTAATCTAAGAGTATTAATTATTTTTAAATTGAAATTAAGGTTTTTTAAAAGTGGGATTTTATGAATCCACACACAGTATGATATATTATTGAGCTTGCATTCCAGGTTTTATAAACAAAGAAATAAAAAGTATTCTAAGGGAGATAATAATGCATACAATTGATTTTACCTTAAAAAAAATTGAGTTCAACACACTGATTTTGTGCAAGCATAAAAAACTGAAAACATACGACACACGCACACAAAAACACATACTCAAACACATGCACACAATTATATATATATATATATATATATATATATATATATATATATATATATATATATATATATATATATATATATATATATATATATATATATATATATATATATATATATATATATATATATATATATATATATATATATATGTATATATATATATATATGTATATATATATATATATATATATATATATATATATTATATATATATATATATATATATATATATATATATATATATATATATATATATATATATATATATATATATTATATATATATATATATATATATATATATATATATAATATATATATATATATGTATATATATATATATATATATATATATATATATATATATATATATATATATATAATATATATATATATATTATATATATTATATATATATATGTATATATATATATATAAATAAATATATATATATTATATGTATATATAGATATATATATGTATATAAAAATATACTATATATATATATATATATATATTATATATATATATATATATATATATATATATATATATATATAATATATATATACATATATATATATATACATACATACATGTATATATATACATACATACATGTATATATAAACATACATACATCCCACATAAATTTTGTCTACCCTAGGGCGTTACTTTTTTAGGGCAGGTAGCTTATAAATTATTTTTTAAACTGTTGTTACTCTACTTTAGATTATAAAAGGTTTCTAATAAAATCATTATACAAATACTAAATCAGAAAGATTTTTTTAGGGGAGATCACTCTCGCTTTATATCAGATATAACGATAATATAACGATAATATAAAACAAACTTGTATTAAATTTCAGCTTCCAAGTAAAATTATAATAATTCACTTTTACCGAAGAATAACCTTGATAACAAATATTAGGATTTGCAACTCACACATTTTAATGCAGTTTAAAATGTCCAGATTAAAAGAATAGTACAAAAACATAAGAAGTAAAAAATTATTTGGTATTATTTCTATTTTCAAATAACAGCTTTACGTTAAAAAGCTGTGATGTTTTGAACAATTTAAAACCGAATTTTAACTGTTATGTTGCATTTCAAAAGTCTTTATAAGTTTTAATCAAAATGTATCAAAATATATAAATGAAAATACATATCACTAAAATTATATCCAATATTCCCAATTTTGACCCAGCTAAAAAATTGAAACTGGGGAAAATGTGAAGTCATATTCTGACAAATTTAGGGTGGATCGGGGATAAGGGGTTATGAAAAGTAAAAGCAGTCGTCAAACTCTTATATATTTTTGGCTAAAATGTTTGTTTTAATAAATATGTTACACCTCTCGTAATATAGGCTGTTCTTTTAAATATCCGAAACACTTTTTTTTGTAACAATTAAAATTATTAAATTATTAGACGACCCAGTTTCCCGTTGGCACTGCAAAATATAAGCTAATATCCCATTACTATTTGATTACTACTTATTTAATCCTGTTTGGGTACCAATGTGTATTCTTGGTAACATTGGCATTAGCAAGTGTATTTGTAATCTTGTTCAACTGTTTGTATTTAAATGTGACAGCTAAAATACAGGCCGAAGTATTTCGACAAAAATAGTTCTAACGGAAAAAAATATCGATAAGTGCAGGAAGTAGAAACCATCATTGTATGGTTAAAACTAGACCTTACCGTATCAGGTTTTTACTGCAACGATAAAAAACATAAGAATATCAACACAGCAAAAAATATGACACTTTGATTGCTTGAACTAAATTAACGGCTAAAGAAGATCAAGTGTTGGTAGATTTGTTTATCTCTTAAAGCGTACACCTGTGTGGCGATGGGGGGGGGGGGGGGGAATTTTAGATCAAGATTATCAATGTGATTGCATGCCGAGCATTCTTAGGAACGTCTTGAATCTCTAGGGATCTATCGTTATCATAAAGTCCAAAAAATGCTATCCACCACACGCAGAGCTAAGCTAGACTCTGACATTAACAGTGAGATAATTTGTACCCGCGTGGGTCTCACTGCAATATATTAATTTAATACCCTGTGTGTCCTTAAGAAATAAATACTACAATCAATAATGATAGTATATTATTAGCTGTTGAGTAACAGGTGTAACAAATTAGTGTATTTTACAGTGATTAGATAAACACAGCGTGTAAATTTGTTTGAAAACATATATCAATAGCCTATTATATTAAAAAGAAATTTAAAAATGAAATATTTTAAAATATTCAAATAACATTATTTCCATTGTCAAAAACCAAAAATTCAAATATTGTTGCATAATTATTTAAGGGAGACATTTCTCAAGTTATAATTCTGTTTAGCAACATCAGTTTTGTTTATCCTGACGATGTATGTGGTTATCAAATATATTTTATAAAATAACTATTTAAAAAAAGTATTTGAGGTGTCAAGTATCCAATCTATAGCATTTTATAATTTTTGAGCGTGTTCTTTATAAATTGGAATAATGTAAATGGCAGCTTTTCAGCTGTATGTATATATAGCCAAAACGCTGCCATTTAAATTAATCTTATATGGTTTACGAATTTTCGTATATATATATATATATATATATATATATATATATATATATATATATATATATATATATATATATATATATATATATATATATATATATATATATATATATATATGGTGACAGGACAAATGATCTCAAGACAAATGATCTCAGACAAAATATCTCACGGACAAATGATCTCAAGACAAATGATCTCAGGACAAATGATCTCAAGGACAAATGATCTCACGGACAAAAGATACCAGGACAAAATATATCATTACTGGTAGCAACGTATTAACATTATACACCGCATTATTTTCACCTTTATCTCACTCAGTTGAGTACGTGCGATTTTTCATATACATTTTTTAAGGAAGACTATTTGTACTTGATTGCCGATTCCATAAGGACGACTCTTGGAGGTAGTCGGAAGGAGAGGGGGGGGGGGTAAAATATTTTTGAACCAGGAAGTAAGACGAATCACTGTAATTCAAATAGCTTTGGCTGTAAATTCAGCTCTATGAATACTAAAATAGTTTTGTTTATTGCACTGAGGAAAGTCCGGTTTTAATTCACACATATTTATGCAGCTGAACAATAACTTTAAAAGACAGCTAGTTGCCCCAAGTTTGTGGTTGACACTCAGGCAACCAACGGTGGCCAAAAATTCGGCGTGAACCACAGCTCACCAGACTTATCGAGCGGTCATTGCTAGCTAGTTATCTCCACTTTTATTTTCGAATAATCAAATTAATTTTATGGATAACCCAATGTCTAATTTTATGTGTCTTGTAAAATTAAATTTTCCTCAATACGATATCTTTTTCTCTTTCTGTTGTGAATATGTGAGTTTAATGCCATCTTCAAAACTACTAGCCTATCTGCGTATTTGCTGATTCTTAGTTTGTCGTTTGTGTCTATAAGTTTTATTAGTTGTTGATGTTTAATGACTTCGTCTTTTGTTAAATTATCAAAAGTATCAAATCTTTTATTTTTTGTAACAACTTGCGGCATAGGAGAGGGGACAGTCTTTTAACAAGTGTGTTACATTTAAAGACAGCACTTGTCCACTTTTTGTGTTTTAATATTGTTAATATTTATTTTGGCAATCATCCACCATTCTTAAAACTTCCAGTTAGGAACTTGTTTAACTAAACGCCACAAGTATGTACATGAAAAAACAATACGCCACCCCCCCCCCCCCCAATGCACATGCGCGGCCAAATAACACAAATGATCTCTGACCCTTCTTCTCCCAATGACGTCTTTCAAACTTGATCAATAGAACTTACACAGACCTCATTCAATAACGCTTTTAACACAAACGGTGGAGAAAGCCACAACTGGCAAAGCACGTGCTTTGTAGGTCTAATTTCATTGGCTATATTAGTGGTGACAGCCCTTGAAACGCATTTTAATAATAGTAATAGCATTCAAAATTTCAAGACTAAAAAGTATACACAGCTGTTCTTTTTCTATATACATTGTTTTAAATACGTATGTATTATGCAATTATGTTACTAAAATAAAAATAAAGTGTGGGATCTACCATAAAATAAAATAACGGAAATGTTGCTGCTACGTGTGGTGTTGTGCCTATTCTAATCCAGCTTATCGAGTACACACTTATGAAATTGATGTCTGAACCAGCTGATTGATTCACAGTAAGCGATTTCGCTTTCTATTGATATTAAATTACTATAACTTAAAAATTGTGTTTAACAGTTAAACATATACATAAATATTTTTCACGTTTATCTAAAATATGTGGTTATCTTCAATTTGTTATTTGTTCAATTTAAGAGACGTTTGAAAATTATTAATGATTTTTTAATGAATGGGGGTGGGGTTTCTGGCTTTTTGTGACGATGTGTGACGGAGGGGAGGAAAAAATCGTCGAACAAAAGAGTGACATCATTTATGTATGACCCCTTATGTATTTTTGTTCCGTTCTTCAGCTTTTTAATTTGAAGTTATATTTTATCTATCTAAATAACTCATATACGACCGCTTCTATTTCTACTTTTGAATTTCGCTGTGTTGCAGCATTGTATTTTGTCTGATATTTAGATTAATAATGTTTTTTTTTAGTTTGAACTCACAGTAAGTTTTCGTTCCGTGTTCAACATATGTTTATTTTGTTTACAATGGATTTGCTGTATACCAAATATTATATCTGAAGCTTAGATTTATATATTTTCAATTTCAATTTCATAAAAATAATGAGCCAAGCTAAGCCTCGCACTACCGGTGTAGATTTTATTATATTAGGTAAAACTGGAAATGGAAAAAGTTCAACTGGCAATTCTATTTTAAGACGGGGAAATATTTTTAAACCCAGCTACTATACAACCTCTGGTACTAAAATACCGCAGTTTGAATGGAGTAAATTTGAAGGCAGGAATCTTCAGGTTGTTGACTCACCTGGCGTATTTGATACATGCGAAGATGAGGCAGGAGGAATAACTATGGTACATGACGCTTTACAGAACGCCATGTTGGCGAACCCAAAAGGTTATCATGCATTTCTTGTTGTACTAAAATATGCTACACGTTTTACTGGAGAGGAACAGAAAACTGTTGACATTCTGAAAGGAATATTAGGCAAAAATTTCCTTAAAGACTACGGTATTATTGTGATGACAAACGGAGATACTTTTGAACATGATTGTCAAAATAATAAAATTCAAAATCTACAAAGGTTTTGTGCAAACCAGAAGGGTCCGTTCAAGAGCATTTTAGAAGAATGCAATAACAGAATTATAGTTTTTAACAACATAACCCAAGACGAGGATGTTAGGTACAAGCAAGTGAAACAATTGATTGATATGGTAGACAAACTGAAAAATCATGGTCAAAGATATACACATGAACATTTTAACAAGGCTGATCAGTTTTACCAACACTTTGTTGTAACAAGTTCGATACCAATTATTTCCAAAGAAGTTTTAAAAGAGCAGAGTCTAATAATGCATGCTATTACCACTTGCGAGATTTTGATGGGGGAGTCAGAAAAAATCGAAACTCTGAAGAGTCTTCTGCCAAGACTTGATTCATTGATGAACAGTCTTAAAGAAAAAGATAAAGGAACCGGTGCTCTAAAAGACTTCATTACACACGCAAATAATACAAAAAGAATGATAGACGCTAGAATTGATATATACACTGATATTCTTTTCAAGCTAAATAGCTTACACAAGAAAGCGGGTGAACTAAAGCTAGATGAATTTGAAAAAAATGGAAAAAAGAATACAACTTCTGTTGAGGAAAGTAAAGTGGGGGAAATAGAAAGTCAAGAAGAACAGCTAAAAAAACAATTGATGGAAACAGAAGAAGATAGAAGGAGGCTACAATGGGAAACAACTAAATATTTCTTTGAAGGAATTGGCATTGTTGTAAAAGCATTTGGCAGTATAATAATTAGTTCAACAGACTCGGTTACTGAATATTTAACAAATAGAGAATAAAGAAATTTCCAATGTAGTCAGTTTCATGAGCGTGTCTAGCAAAATAACCATAGGGATCGTGCTCGCATTTGTGACACCTGTTAAGCCATCACGGCTTCATATACGAATGCAAGCACGTACGAAGCAATAACACAACATGACGGTATCCAATGTTAGGGTTTTACAAAATAATTTTGGATCTTCAACTCTTACTTCTTCTGTAACAACTGCAATGCTTTTATTCAAGTACATTAAAAAATATATATAAACAATTAATTTAAATGAAATGTAAACAAACTTGCTTACTTTAATAAAAGCTTTTGTTCCTCCTGAGAGGATGGACGGACGGACGGACGGATGGACGGACGGATGGACAGACGGGTGGATGGATGGACGGGTGGATGGACGGATGGACGGATGGACGGATGGACGGATGGACGGATGGACGGATGGACGGATGGACGGATGGACGGATGGACGGATGGACGGATGGACGCATGGACGGATGGATGGATGGATGGATTATTTCAAATTAATATTTTATCTCAAATTAGCCGATTCCATAGCTAAATAAACAAAGATTTATATAAAATAATGAAGGTCTGAAATAGTTTGGTATAGAAACTCATTATTATTTAAATCTATATCTAGATACAGTTATCTTGATTCTACGACTAGTTTGGTTAAGTCGAGTTTTCCCGTAATAAAGTTCTAGATCAAGAACCTAGATTGATCAATCACTTGTATTCTTTAATTAGATGATCTTTCAAGCTAAAAAGCAAAACAAAAAAAAAACTTATATCAAACATTTAATAAATAAAACAGTTTAATAAAGAAACTAAATAATTTTTTGTGATTTCATTTTTAACGAATTAATTTTGGTTTGAGCTAGATTCTAGATCTATAACTTCATTTGACAGCTTATCTTTAGATTCTAGATCTAGAGAAATTTATTGAATACTTACGGATAGGCACCACGGATAGAATTTTTTTTTATTTAACACATTTCTGGGTGTTTAATAAGTTCATATCTTTATAGTTGTTAAACTATTGACAAAAATAATATATAGCCGTCAATAGCAGTACTGGTTGCCATGGAAACCGCGAAAAGGTGTGAAAACTAACACATTTTCAAAGCGCTATAACTTTGTATCTATAAGAGATTTTTAAAAGTGGATGAAACATTTAGATTTCTCTAACCAAACTATACATTTTTACGTTTACTGATTGCGATAGCTCGTACTCAGTTTTTAATAGAAATTTTTACGTAAATTTATGTGCAAAAATTAGGGGGTGGTGTTACATAAATATCAATATTTCCTCCTAAAGTATTGTAGTAAACTTATTGTACAAACGTAGTTTTGTAAATGGTATAATGCTGAATGCACGTGGAATTTTTAGGAAAAAAAAGTCACAGGAAAAAAAAACACAGGAAAAAAAAACACAGAAAAAAAGTCACAGGAAAAAAGTCACAGGAAAAAAAGTCACAGGAAAAAAGTCACAAATATATATTTGCATGATATTTGTTAATACTTTTATGTATTAAATATTTAGAGAATGCAAATTAACTTAGGATTAATTAAATGGAATGTAATGTGTGTAGGCTGAATACGCATAGGAATTTTTATAATTCATTTAAAAATATTTATTATGAAGTATGTAGATTGTAATTATTTTAAACTTAAGATTAGTAGCATTTAATAGAATGCTCCAAAGTCCACGTTTTTCATCGTGTTTTTTAAAAAAAAAACAATATTAAATTACCGTGAAATGGTAAGTTCGTCGTACTTGCTGCCCTCAAGTCATGGCAACAATAGTTATGTTTAGTTCAACCACCTTAACTGCCCACATTTATCACGCTCATTACATAAAAAACTTAGGATCAAAACAGAAAGCCGACAAGGTTCAAATACTGTCATTGACGCATAACGTCAACAACAAAAAATATGTTCCCACAATGCCTACTGAGGAGAGGCCGACCAGAGAATAGCCTACGACAAAATATGCCTAAATTTCTTTTATAGTTCACTTTTCTACCGCGTATTTAACTAAATACGTAACAAAAGTTGAGATTGTTGTGTTAATTATCTTAGGGTATTTTTACTTACAATTGTTATAAATCATAATGCTTTTAACGTCTATAAATAATTTATGCTATCAAAAAATACAACCCACAACAATAAACATACAAAATTTACAATTCTTAACAAATTAATAAAAATATTTCTAAAAAGATTTTGTGACGTTTTTTCTGTGACTTTATTTCTGTGACTTTTTTTCCGATAAAATTTTTCACTGTGACTTTTTTCTGTGACTTTTTTTTCCTAGCAAAAACTGACTTTTTTCTGTGTTTTTTTTTTCCTGTGACTTTTTTTCGTTCACCTGTATGATAAAGGGTTCCAAAGCCTTAGTGATTTGAATGTTGAATTTTGAGTAAAAATGCAAAGTTGAGAAAACGTAAAAAGAAGAACGGGAAATGGCACTGTGCGTTTTCTCTTATAGAAAACAGAAAAAACCCTTGTTATATGTGGAAGAACCATTTGTCTAATAAAATATGCTTTGATTTATGTTGTAAGTTTTAGACAGATTTTTCTATGTAAGCAGAAAATATGTATACAACAGGTAATGAAGTTATGACTATTAAGTATTACACATCCTATCAATCGAGCGATATTCTCAGAACAGCTATCATCAATCCAGATCAAGTTTTGTTTGTTAGCCGGTCTTCTTACTTAAATACACTGTCTTTCCCTACTTAAATTGTAGCTTACACAAGTTTATTGCCTTATGATAATAGCCTACTACACAACACTGGGTACAACGCTTGAGGCTAGACACGCCCCTCCACCCCACCCCACCGCTGGATAGTGCGTGAAGAACTGATGAGCCATAGATTACCAATGCTCATTCAACCGCGAATAACACATCTGTGTAGATAGGGTCAAGTACAGGGCCTAAGTGAATGCTTCTCAGCTATCCTATCAAGTATTTACATTTGTTGCTACCACACCCTATACGGAGAGATGGGCATACACATTAACACACGTGTCGTATACAGTCCGGTGTAAAGCCTGATGAATGCGTTCAAGCCTATCACAGCATGCCGTAAAAAAATTATAAACCGGCCGTTGGTTGAATGTCGAGAAGGGAATGAAGGGGGTAAAGGGGATGGACAGTACATTCTTCAAACTGACAGTCATGTCCATGACGCATTGTTTCAGCATAGTACGAAACAGTGTTTAATACTGTTCCAGTGATAATCAACAGTACATTTCTAGGCAAAGTTTGAATGATTAAACTTAATGCTGTTGTATAACTTTAAAACAACAAATAGAAGAGTATACGCAAATGAGGTAAACAAACAAATGCAGGCGATTGTTTTGTTTATCTAGAAACAAGATGGCTGCCTAGCACACGTGGTAAGTTGCAACCTATCGTGAATTATTTTGATTTACTGTACTATAATATGATTGGTCAAGCGTATCAATGAATCTCTTCCCATTCATAACTTTTACGCGCATGCCCTTTTATGGAGTTTGATATAAAATTTTACTATGTAGAAAACAACTTCTATCCCACTTATTTTTAGAACAAAAGAAAAGGTCACTACACCAGCGGGTACACGAGTGCTTGGCCCTTAGATTGCTGTAAAGTTTATGCTGCCTCGCGGGCAATAAATGATGTAATACCCGCTCGAAGATAGCAGCTGTCCGCGTAGTTGTGTGAAAACTTGCCGGGGGGTACCATGTTTCACATCGCAATAAACGGATAACCGTAAGCTGTAGAAGTCCGAAATGTTCGGGTTAGATAGATAAAAGGTATTAGTATCGAATTAAGAAATAAACATTTTGGGGAGCAAAATAAATCTTTTATCGAAAACATAGGTATCTTGTTCCCTTAAATGAAAAGGACTGTTGAAAATTGATATTAGTGTTGGAACGTAATAAAAATAGCAAACGGGCGTATCGTTTAAGCTATAGCCGACTGAAAATTAGCTTTATAACGCGTTAAACGTTCTAATGGGCACCAAAATCTTCGATGGAAGCCGCCATTATTGTTATAAAAAGTAAATAAATCATGTGACGTCACTATAAGTAGTCATTCTTCTGAACTTTTATAATTAATGTGGTTAATCTACCTATGAAAAAAATCAATAAATTAATTAACATCTTTAGATACATTTGTGATTAACAGTCTGTTTAAGAAAGAAAATTTTTCTACCTAAATACTGTTTTATAGCTCTACACATAGTGCAATTTTTTTCCTGTAACCAAAACGGAAAAAAAAACAACAACAAAGAAACAAAAAAATAATTCAAACATTTGAACAAACTTGAGTTTTAGTAGTATACTAGACTACCCGCTACCTAGTTAGATAACTGCGGGTTTTGGGGGTCATCCGTAAATGACACCACGTCTGTCACTTATAATCACAAAATAACCGACCCCACATTTAAAAGACGATTTTTATCTTTTAAAAACACCGATTTCGGCTGAGCATAGGTCTAAACACACTATCCCTTAATATACTGACGTCACATGTGACCTAATCACCTCTACTTCACCTGCCCAGTGTCCCGCCAAGTCTCAGACAACATGTTTTATCGTTAAAACAATTATTCGTGCCGAGCATGTCTCTGACCACACTATCCCTTCATATGCTGAGGACAAAGAAACAGGTAAACTCTACTTCACCTGCCATGTATCCCGCCAAGTCCCGATAGACAACTTTATCATTCACATCTAAAAAAATTGTATTTTTTTAACATTGACATGATGTCATCCGCATGGAAGCCTATTACACTAACAACTTAGCTATCTAGAATGGTGACATCATTGACGTTTTTTTTTGTTCTACATATTAACTAGGCATACTACCTAGCTTTGCTTAGGTTTTAAAATAAAGAAATCGAGCATTCCAATAATTAATTAATTGGTGATTGGCTATTATGTGGAGTGCTTAGGGCCTAAGTTTAAAGAGAATTGAGTAATTTCATACCATTCAAACATGAGTGGAGTATTCGCAAAATTTTAAAACAATTTTCATATATTTTAAAGTGAAACAAATATCAAAAAGTATAGCATTCGTTTAAGTAAATATTTCGTTATCAATTAAGTTATTTATTGTAGTGAAATTGTGAAAATTAATTTCTAAACTAAATTTATTATAATTTTTGTTTTAATACGCTTTCCCCGACAACAAAGAACTCACACTCAAACGTCACTTTCTTGCGTACCGCGTCACACATTCACTCGTTCAATATATGGCCGCACCATCAATCATGCGCACCAATTTGCCTAGTCAAACATACATCATAACATTACCCCCCTCTCCCCTCAATCTTATGACATTAGCTTTAACTACCTCATCAATAAACCAATATTCTGTTTTACCTAACAATGTTAGCTATAGCAACATATTCACATCATAGACCGTTAAGTCTACTAAAGCAATATTAACGAATTCTAGAAGCTTCTGTTTAGTTCATCTCTCCACACACACAAACACATTTTGGCGACTCTGCAAAGTGTACGTCTCTGATCACCAGTTGGGTATATATCCTACAAACACACAATTTAGTGTTAAGTAATTCAGTAACCACATCAAATTTCAAAATGCCTTATATGATCAACATTAGCATATTTCAATCTCATGTTACAACGACAGGTACTAATAATAATCCCTGGACCCTTAAATACATAACGAGGTACTAGACACACCATCGAGATACCTAAAAAAATCAGACCACAGTATCATAATCCTCAACATCACTTAGTAGTAACCTAGGTAAGATATGGTACTCGGCACACCATCGAGATACCACAGAAAAAATTCATAAAAAACGTCTTTAACTGTACAGCTGTTATTAATAGAATTATTAGATCTAGTTGCCGTTACGAATTGGTCGAAAAAATTGACTGCGACCATGCGTAAGGCTTATTTCCTCTGGTTATGATGACCCTTTCAATTCGACTCGCTTCCTCTCGATATGTTACTTGGCGTATTCCTGCTGTCGCGTGCCTAACGATCGCTTGATATAAGTTCACGTTCATGAGTTCTTGTAGATATATTGTCACTCGTCCTTAACAAATTTGGAAACGTGGCTTCCGTTGCAGATGAATTGGACGTTTTGCCGCTGGATTCATTTACACTGGGTATCAGGGTGTGTAGTATTCGCGAAGATAGCGTCGGATTCTGGGAAAACATGAACGAGCATGTCTCATTAGACATATACCTGTTAAGCGTTTGTGTGCCCGTCGTACAAATAACCTTCCACTTTGAAATGAAACCCCCCAAATTTCGATATGCTGGTTATTTGTCCACGACACGCTACATAATAACTATAGTGGAAACTACATTATAATCATCAACAACCACATTACTATAATCATTTGTTACACAACTAACATTTAAAATGAATGAGATAAGATACAATTAAAGCAAAGACATGTGTGTTGTATTGTGTGTCAAATATCTGTAAGTGCAGGAGCATCTCTCTGCCTGTGACTGTAGACGGTACATAACCATTATTTCTCAACCTCCTATGACTACTGTAAGACTATCTTCACTATATGTCTATAAATAATGAAGCAGCTCTCATTATACCACATGATCAAATAAACTTCTTTCTTTCACTCCAGACTTGACCAATAGTTTCAAGCCGATATTTCACGACGGTTTAAATTCACAATTGGCTGTTCTATAATTTGACTTTCATCTCACTTCATCATTGTGTAGTCATTGTTCTAAACCGTTCGTCGGGGAGTGGTCAGGGTGGAATTTCTACCTATCATGAGATTAATGTAGCGCAGAATGATTTGTTGGGCTTGGATGGTCAACCTGCGGTCTTTGTTCATTTGTTCATTTGTTATTAATTCAACTCCAGCGAGTTGGTTCTATGGTTCCTTGTACTTGTGGTATCAACTGACTAGGTGCTGACCAGGGATAACATTGTGCTTTCTCGCCGATTAAATTTTTCTGAACGTAATCTTCACTTTGATTGTTTACTTCTTTCTCTAACCTAGGTAACCTGTCACTGAGTGCATCATTTTGTTTTCTCAAATTGGGAACAATTGCTCCTGTTTCTGTAATTCTATTAGAACTATCTTCTATAACTGAGCTCACGTCTAACATTAAATTGTCCATAATCTTATGTAGATCACACGTTTTGGGCCCCCGGTTCGCTAGATGAATGTGTTTTGGGCTGATGGCTTCTTACTTGTGTTGCATGATTCATGTCATTCTCAACTTGAAATTGTTTGACGCCTCTGATGTTGCCTAGGATGACATCGTGTGGACCATGTCTGAATACCGCAGCTTCTACTGTTCTTGTTGCTGCTGGCGTACTGATCCGGATCATGGCTGTTGACCAAATATATGTCATGCCTCGTGAACTCTGGACACGTTGTGTTCTACCTGTATATTGGTGTCTCCTCAAACTTTCGATTTGCACGTTGATGAAGCAATTTGATGAATCGAATCCACAAGTTTTCAACTTCGTCTTGCCGGCGCCATGTTTCTAACGGTCCACGGTAAAGGTTACGTCGACTTCACATGCACAGCTGACTGAAGGTTAATAATCGCTGATCACAACACATGAGATGTCCGTTACTAAATTATTCGTTGAAACAATAACAATGTACGTTATACCATAGAACTGTCCGTCGAATGAGCCTGTGCTTTCACGATTTATTTCCAAGATGTAGTTACAACAAGGATCTTTCCATCACGGAACTTCAGCATACGATTCTTTTTATCAAGTCGAGTTTTCACATACAAAGACGAGTCTTCAACACGGGTTTTCACGCTAGGATCTTCCACACGGTTTTCACAATAACAGTCCATATATCATAGAGACATAGTCCGTACGAAAATTATATCGATGAAACTTGACTGGTTAGATAGTTATAGCGTTTGCTGACTAGACGTTGAATATCCGCCGAATTGCTGCTGAGTTCTTTCAAGCTGCTGCACCTTGTTATACTGCTTCATGTTTTTATAGCTGGTTCACGTTGTTGCGCTGCTTCACCATGTTATGCTGAGTGAGTGGTTTGGGTTGTTTGATTCAATACCATTTAAATCTTACTACCATGTAAAGATGTTGCACCCACAGGCAGGCATCATACAATTGTTTATCAAGACAACACAGGTGACGACTGATCAATAAGACAAAAGCAGATTTCTTCTTCCTATAACTATGCATGAAATTTCGTCCACCTAAATGAAACGGTTCTGAAGTGATTGGTATTTTAGAAACCACAAATAAAGTAAAGTACCACTTTATGCTATGTTTAAAAATATTTGTTTTAAAACACCAACAGTAGCTCTCAATCTCTGAAAGACAATTACCTTTCAAAGAAAATCATTTATTTTCTCCTTTTAAGTGCATTATTACATAAAAGCTCGTAATTTAAAAAATGGTTTTATTACAAGCTTTTATATAACTCACTTCCTCGTCAGTCGACAGTCTGTCTGTCGTCAGTCTAGATCGAAACGCCGGAGTGAAAATTCGGACAGTTCTACTTGACCGATACGATTCACAGTTGGCACCTGGGTCAAGACATGAAGACAATGCAATCTGAAACTAAATTTGACTTAATTGGATGCCTAGATAATTTTTTATGAATTAATTAAAATTTGGACCGAATTAGTAGGCATGTCTATCCAACCACATCACACGCGTCATCACGTTCAATAGCTGCGCCATCACGTTCAATGGCTGCGACATCACGTTCAGTAGGCGCGCAATGGTTTTTAGTCATGTAACTCTATTGTAAATAAAACATGTAAAGTACTGAAAAAAAATCATAAAAAACGTTTTAATAACAAGCTTTTATGTAATGATGCACTAAAAAGTAGAAAATAAATTATAGACTACTTGTTATTAAAACGTTTTTTTATGAATTTTTTTGTATTTTTATGTTCTTAGTTTCATGACTAATGAACAACAATTGAACAAGTATAATTGTGCGGAGAGATTAATAGAAGATTACCTCGTAATTTCAGAAAATTTTAATTAATTCATAAAAAATATTATAATCATCCAATTTAGTAAAATTAAATGTCATATTGCTTTGTCATTGGGTCATGACCCAATTGCCGAATTAAAGAAAAATTAAAGTGACCGAAAAAATTTCGTTACCCCCTTTCGATCTAGGATTAAGATATATATATATATATATATATATATATATATATATATATATATATATATATATATATATATATATATATATATATATTTCCGTTTACCGAAAATCGTCCAAACGTTAACAGAAACCTACGTACACGCTCACTTATTGATAAATGAAATTTAGTCAACCTCACTGAAATGGTTCTCAGATTATCTTGTTAACACTCATATACACACATTCACACACAATATACAAACATACATACAGGAAAACTGTAAAACTGGGTAATTTCTAAAACCGCGAAAATAATGGGTTTTTTTTCGCTTACATTACTTCTATCACACTCCTATAGTACAAAATTATTATATAGGCTACACTATAAGGAAAAAACTAATATAATCTGGTTTAACACTTACAGCCCGCCACGTTTCACTAGTCATATTTTTTTTGCGCGAGGCTAATGTGCACCGTTCTTAAAGTCACAGTGACGGCAGTCTTTAGACGCTGGTATTTGTTTTTATTTTGCACGACTTGTACATTATGTAAAAGATGGCTACAGCAAACATAGTAAGTGGGCTAATTGGTAATTATGTATAATTTGAAAGTTATATTAAATTCATAGTCTATTGCCAATGTTTTCTTTATATTACTCTGTAAGCTTGCTTTAAATATTGAAAAAAAAAACCTTCTAAATATGTATTCTATCAGTATGATGTACTTTATAAGTAAGCAACTGCTTGTGATCATTGACAAAAGTGCGTTCAATTCACTACCTAGAGCATTTATGAGAGTAGGTTTTAGAAATAACGAAAACATGTATGTATCAGTTGTTCTTTCTATTTATTTCACTATAATTTAAATAAATTCATTACCAATTTATACAAGTGCACTAACGGATAGGACGACTGAAGTAAAGTGTTGTTGAAACTTAATTGTAACAAATTATTTCAAATCGATAACGAGAAAATACATAATCTTATTAAATCCGCCTTTACGTCACCTGCCTACCTGCCTGCCCAAATGTCAGATTGTCCGTCGGACGGTCGTCGATCGGCCGTTCTGTTCTGTACTTTTTTGTTCTGTTCTTATATTTCCTGTTCTGTTCTATACTATACTATACTATACTATACTATACTATACTATACTATACTATACTATACTATACTATACTGTACTGTACTGTACTGTACTGTACTGTACTGTACTGTACTGTACTGTACTGTACTGTACTGTACTGTACTGTACTGTACTGTACTGTACTGTACTGTACTGTACTGTACTGTACTGTACTGTACTGTACTGTACTGTACTGTACTGTACTGTACTGTACTGTACTGTACTGTACTGTACTGTACTGTACTGTACTGTACTGTACTGTACTGTACTGTACTGTACTGTACTGTACTGTACTGTACTGTACTGTACTGTACTGTACTGTACTGTACTGTACTGTACTGTACTGTACTGTACTGTACTGTACTGTACTGTACTGTACTGTACTGTACTGTACTGTACTGTACTGTACTGTACTGTACTGTACTGTACTGTACTGTACTGTACTGTACTGTACTGTACTGTACTGTACTGTACTGTACTGTACTGTACTGTACTGTACTGTACTGTACTGTACTGTACTGTACTGTACTGTACTGTACTGTACTGTACTGTACTGTACTGTACTGTACTGTACTGTACTGTACTGTACTGTACTGTACTGTACTGTACTGTACTGTACTGTACTGTACTGTACTGTACTGTACTGTACTGTACTGTACTGTACTGTACTGTACTGTACTGTACTGTACTGTACTGTACTGTACTGTACTGTACTGTACTGTACTGTACTGTACTGTACTGTACTGTACTGTACTGTACTGTACTGTACTGTACTGTACTGTACTGTACTGTACTGTACTGTACTGTACTGTACTGTACTGTACTGTACTGTACTGTACTGTACTGTACTGTACTGTACTGTACTGTACTGTACTGTACTGTACTGTACTGTACTGTACTGTACTGTACTGTACTGTACTGTACTGTACTGTACTGTACTGTACTGTACTGTACTGTACTGTACTGTACTGTACTGTACTGTACTGTACTGTACTGTACTGTACTGTACTGTACTGTACTGTACTGTACTGTACTGTACTGTACTGTACTGTACTGTACTGTACTGTACTGTACTGTACTGTACTGTACTGTACTGTACTGTACTGTACTGTACTGTACTGTACTGTACTGTACTGTACTGTACTGTACTGTACTGTACTGTACTGTACTGTACTGTACTGTACTGTACTGTACTGTACTGTACTGTACTGTACTGTACTGTACTGTACTGTACTGTACTGTACTGTACTGTACTGTACTGTACTGTACTGTACTGTACTGTACTGTACTGTACTGTACTGTACTGTACTGTACTGTACTGTACTGTACTGTACTGTACTGTACTGTACTGTACTGTACTGTACTGTACTGTACTGTACTGTACTGTACTGTACTGTACTGTACTGTACTGTACTGTACTGTACTGTACTGTACTGTACTGTACTGTACTGTACTGTACTGTACTGTACTGTACTGTACTGTACTGTACTGTACTGTACTGTACTGTACTGTACTGTACTGTACTGTACTGTACTGTACTGTACTGTACTGTACTGTACTGTACTGTACTGTACTGTACTGTACTGTACTGTACTGTACTGTACTGTACTGTACTGTACTGTACTGTACTGTACTGTACTGTACTGTACTGTACTGTACTGTACTGTACTGTACTGTACTGTACTGTACTGTACTGTACTGTACTGTACTGTACTGTACTGTACTGTACTGTACTGTACTGTACTGTACTGTACTGTACTGTACTGTACTGTACTGTACTGTACTGTACTGTACTGTACTGTACTGTACTGTACTGTACTGTACTGTACTGTACTGTACTGTACTGTACTGTACTGTACTGTACTGTACTGTACTGTACTGTACTGTACTGTACTGTACTGTACTGTACTGTACTGTACTGTACTGTACTGTACTGTACTGTACTGTACTGTACTGTACTGTACTGTACTGTACTGTACTGCACTGTACTGTACTGTACTGTACTGTACTGTACTGTACTGCACTGTACTGCACTGTACTGCACTGTACTGTACTGTACTGCACTGTACTGTACTGTACTGTACTGTACTGCACTGTACTGCACTGTACTGCACTGTACTGTACTGTACTGTACTGCACTGCACTGCACTGCACTGCACTGCACTGTACTGTACTGCACTGCACTGCACTGCACTGTACTGCACTGCACTGCACTGCACTGCACTGTACTGCACTGCACTGCACTGTACTGCACTGTACTGCACTGCACTGCACTGCACTGCACTGCACTGCACTGTACTGCACTGCACTGCACTGTACTGCACTGTACTGTACTGCACTGTACTGTACTGTACTGTACTGTACTGTACTGTACTGTACTGTACTGCACTGTACTGTACTGTACTGTACTGCACTGCACTGCACTGCACTGTACTGCACTGCACTGCACTGCACTGTACTGTACTGCACTGCACTGCACTGTACTGCACTGTACTGCACTGCACTGTACTGTACTGCACTGCACTGCACTGTACTGTACTGTACTGCACTGCACTGTACTGTACTGCACTGCACTGCACTGTACTGTACTGTACTGCACTGTACTGTACTGTACTGTACTGTACTGTACTGTACTGTACTGTACTGTACTGTACTGTACTGTACTGTTTGTATTTCTTTAGTTTAGTTTTTACTGAACATCTATCGAAGATGGACCATAACACCTACTTTATAGAATGCCCTTACCAGGTTTGCAAATACAAAATATATTATTGCAATTTTTTCAAGTATGATACTCATTCTATAAAGCGTGCCTGTATTTCACTCTTTTCTTGTAGCAAAATACCTTTCAAAGAATACGATAAACGTTTGCCTCGTTAAGTAAAAAAGTAAACTTACGTGCAATTTTTCGCTTTTTCTTTTGTTCTAGGGTAATAAACCTCAGCTTCCAAAAGCATTATCCTTAATTTTAGTTGGAAACAATGAACATGAAAAATGTGAAAGTGGTAATTCAATTTTATGCAAAAATGCATTTAACATGGCACCATTTCCTGAAGATGATACATGCAAATACAAAGGTTACGAAATACAAGTTGTTGATTTTCCAGATGTTTTCAACACTAAACTTAAAACTGAAGATGGAATTAAACTATTTCGTACCCAGATGCTTAATGTGTTATTGGCAAAACCAGAAGGTTACAATGCATTTCTTATAATCGTGAGGTTCCAAATGCCTTTTATTAAAATAACAGATATTGATTTTATTAAACGTAATTTAGGGCGCGATGTCTTTAAAAAGTATGGCATAATTTTAATGACAAACGGTTATGATTTTAGATGGCAAACAAGGTTTAGCCTTAAAACATTCTGTCAACAACAAACTGGAGATTTTAAAAAATTACTGGAAGCTTGCAATGATAGAATTGTTGTTTTTGATAACAATAATTCTGAGAAAGACATAGAAGTGAGGCAAAGGGAAAAATTGTTTAAAATTGTCATTGATTTAGATTTAAAAAATGAGGGAATAACATACAAGAAAAATCATTTTGCAAAAGCACAAGGAATACATACTGCTGATAAAACTACAACGGCAATACAAATGCACAAAGCAATACATCTGACGAAAAAAACTGAAACAGCCACACCAATAGAAGTAGAGGAGAAAGAGGTAAACACATTTTTTGTTTTAATTAAAAATTATTAATTCTGAAATTTTATTAATTTAGGTTAGATATGATCTGGTAAGACTAAATTAAAGATATTGTTTTCTTTCCTCTCTCTCTCTCTTGCTTTCTTTCTTTCTCTCTTTCTCTCTTTCTCTATGTATCTCTCTCCCTCTTTCAATCGTATACGAATATTATGGGTCAAAAACGAGATTAAGTCTAGTAATTCTAAACCAGCAGTTTAAAATCAATTTTTGAATTATTACCAAACTATTTTAAAATATCAACAATACACGCCAAAATTTAAAATCTCTAAATTAAAAAATAACATGAGAGGTTAATTTTCTCATTAGATGTGGTATCCATGCCTGCCTCGGTAGCCTACAAAGGCGGTTTATTGGGTAACGAACACTTCTATCTTTATCTCAATCTCTTCAATGACCGTAACACTATACTCAACTTATTAGTTCCCAAGCTCAACTCCTTTGAATTCGATGGCCAATTTTTTACCCCAATGGTGGAGTTGCTATTAGGACTAAAATGTTTCTTTGTTATGCCTCTTCATAAGTTTCTTTCTATAAGTATTGCACGGGTAGTTTTATATTATTTACCGGAGGTTCATTTTTTAAAAAGTGCGAGTCATTTTAAGTATTATTTTTTTGAATTAGAAAAGCTTTTTTCTTAATTCAGAAACAAAATAAGTGGCAGTTTATGAATAAGATTACTAGCAATTGCAATAGCTATATTGCAAATATAATGATTGTTTTTGTTTTATTTTTAAACTATAGACACATTAGAATATCTATCGAAGAAAATAAGTTCATAACATATGAATACTAAATATATATAGTTTAGTATCAACTAAAATCACTTATACCTCAAATAATTAACAGAATTTTATTATTTTGTATTTTAAAATTGACATCGTTTTTTTCAGGCCAAAAGGCCAAAAGAAATAGGCTTAATTTTAATAGGAAACAATGGAAACGGAAAGAGTTCAACTGGCAATTCTATTGTCAACAGAGAAGTGTTTAAATCAAGCTCAAATGCAACTTCCGAGACCAGATTTCCTAAGAACTATATATGTACTTTTGACGGTTATCGAATAAATGTTGCTGATTGTCCTGGCCCTTTGCCTACTTTTATAAAACCCGAAGACTCGACCGAGATGATTACTGCTGCAATAAAAATTATTATGCTCTCCAACTTGAAAGGATACAATGCGTTTCTGTATGTTGTTCAGTACGGAGCTCGCTTTTCCAAAGAAGATATAAATGCAGTTAAGATTTTCAAAAGTGTTCTAGGAAGCAACGTCTTTAAAGATTACGGTATAATTGTCATGACGTACGGAGACATGTTTAAACAGCAGCAGAAAGGTCTAACGGTAACGCAATTTTGTGAAAAACAATTTGGACCTTTCAGAGATTTGTGGGAAGAATGCAACAAAAGAATTGTTTTATTTGATAATATGAGTAAACTTGAAACCGATAGACAAAATCAAAGGTACTATTTGATTAAAACTATCGACAGTCTAGTGTGTAAACAAAGATACACAGATAGCTACATGGTACAACTGCATACCAAACATGAAAATGATAATGAAGTACAAGCTAAAACTACCATAGATAAATTATGCAGTATTTTAGTCAGTATGGCAGACCTTACAAACGAGAAAGTGAAAAGTTTCGATATGAATGCTATTGCTGAGGAATTGACTGAATTGGAATAAAAAATGAAAACCCTAGATATACCGAATGGGTCAGAAATCTTAAGAAACATTGAGGAGATACGAACATTTATAGAAGAGCAAAAAAGGAAGACGGATCCAAAAACAAATCACAAAGAGGAGCTTAAAATTTTAGTAGATCTTTTTAATCAATTACAAGAATTGAAAGTATCTCTTCATAAAAATAATATTTACGTTTTATTAGCATTCTTAGTAAAGCCTACATATATAGTACAAGCTTTACCTAAATTAAAATGTTTGTATAATAATAAAAACAAATAGCAAAAGGGGTAAAATTTAAAAGCACCAAGAAGAGCAAAAAAATTGGCTATCAAGATCTTTCAAAATAATTTTAAGAATTAACAGCCTCTCTTGATATTTCATATTATAACATGACGTTTAATCAGTTTTCTAAATCAAGGCTACAGATATAGTACAAGTTTTACCTTAAAAGTTGTTGGGTTTTTGTTTGTTTTTGTAAAATAGCACTTTCATGTACATTCTTGTACAACTGTAAAGGGAATATCAATCACAATGCAATTGAGCTATGCAAATATAGCATTATGTGATAAAATGGCCCATTTTTTGTTATCTTAAATAAAGTTTCTGAAAAGTTAACAAAATATACGTGAGAAAATGCTACTGGATGAAAAACAAAGTGAGTACTATGCTGTGCTGTGCTGTGCTGTGCTGTGCTGTATTGTGCTGTGCTGTGCTGTGTTGTACTGTACTGTACTGTACTGTACTGTACTGTACTGTACTGTACTGTACTGTACTGTACTGTACTGTACTGTACTGTACTGTACTGTACTGTACTGTACTGTACTGTACTGTACTGTACTGTACTGTACTGTACTGTACTGTACTGTACTGTACTGTACTGTACTGTACTGTACTGTACTGTACTGTACTGTACTGTACTGTACTGTACTGTACTGTACTGTACTGTACTGTACTGTACTGTAATGTACTGTACTGTACTGTACTGTACTGTACTGTACTGTACTGTACTGTACTGTACTGTACTGTACTGTACTGTACTGTACTGTACTGTACTGTACTGTACTGTACTGTACTGTACTGCACTGTACTGTACTCTACTGTACTGTACTGTACTGTACTGTACTCTACTGTACTGTACTGTACTGTACTGTACTGTACTGTACTGTACTGTAATACACTGCACTGCACTGCACGGCACGGCACGGCACGGCACGGCACGGCACTGCATTGCACTATACTGTACTGCACAACACAGCACAGTTTTCACTTTGTTTGTCATCCAATATCCACTGCACTGTACTTCGCTGTACTTCATTGTACTGTACTTACTGAACTGCACTGCATTCCACTCCACTGTACTGGACTGGACTGGACGGGGAGGGGGGGGCCACATGCTATTTAGGAGACCCACAGCCGACCATAATTAATTATTTTTTATAATAAAAAAAATATTTTCGTGCATTTTTGACTTGATAGCTCTTTTATAAAGAAATAAGTCTACTACGGCTGGAGGGAAGAGCTGGTTATTTTACTGTAAGTGATTTCTATTTTCTGTGTTTTTCTTGGTTGTTATAATTTTTCTTTTCTGTGTGCAGCTTTGGATGTATTAATCATACCTAAGGCTTTTAACATTTTTATTAAATTAGCAAAACCTGTTTTAACCAATCGACGACATTAAATACTTAATGATTAACACACCTACACCTACCCTTACACCTACCCTTACACCTACCCTGACACCTACCCTTACACCTACCCTTACACCTACCCTTACACCTACACCTACTCCAACACCAACACCAACACCAACACCTACACCTACACCTACACCTACACCTACACTTACACCTACACCTACACCTACACCAACACCAACACCAACACCTACACCTACACCTACACCTACACCTACACCTACACCTACACCTACAACTACAACTACAACTACAACTACATCTACACCTGCATCTACACCTGCATCTACACTTACACCCACACCTACACCGACACCAACAACGACACCAACACAGACACGTACGCGTACACAAGCACCTACTCCTATTTCTACACCTGCGTATACTCCTATACATATACCAACACCTACTTCTACTACAACAACTACACATTTCAATTTCAACTACACCTACTGATACATTTTAACGTATACCTTAAGCTTCAGTTCACAATTTGAAATGATTATGTATCATTTTTAAAATTATTACCATTCGATATGATTTGACTTTTTATTCAAATTAACTGCTTATTACTCATAACGTGGTCGTCTATTTATGACGTCCACACGTGGGTGGTGGGGTCGGGGTCTGAAAATAATCGATTTTTGTGGAAATGTGTGGACTGAGGAGAGGGGAGGAGGGTTCGTGTCAATTTGGACGTCCACATGTTGAATTTAACATAAAAACTTACATCACCAAAAAAACTGCATATAAAATGTATGTATTAAATCGACAGTTCTCTTGTTTAAAAAACAACTTAACCTGTGAATAAATATGTTAGATGTAACTGTATACCAGCCGCCGAAGAAATTAAAGCGGCAGTTATCTCCCCTAAACTTTCTCGAAAAACCTATATAACACTATGAGGGATGGCAACTCGGGATACAGACATGATTTTTAAAAAAATCATTTTTACTTTATGCAGTGGTGTAGCGAGGTCGGGTGTCACCCGGTGCGGCACTTAATGGTGTCCCCCCCCCCTCCGCGGCGTAGCGACCCTTCCCGGGGACAAACTTTCAATTTTCGATTTGCACCCCCCCCCCCTCAAACTTTCGATTTGCACCCCTCTCCTCAAATTTTTCTCTATATATTTTGTTATTTTTTGCCTTGGTGTCACCCCCCCCCCCCCCTAAATGGTGTCACCCGGTGCGGTCCGCATCCCCCCCTCGCTACACCTCTGACTTTATGGTATACGAAGTATGGAGGATGTATTGTAAACGTGCAAAAATTCGAAATCGAGATTGGTGAAAATCTCAGTTTTACACATCCCTGAGTCGGAAAAACTTAGTTTTGCAATTTTGTCCGTCTGTGTGTGTGTATATGTGTATGTGTGTATGTGTGTGTGTTGTGTTGTGTATGTCTGTGAACACGATAGCTTGAGTACAGCTAGGTTGATGAAATTTCATATATAAGGATTATATCAATTCTGTAGTTCTATTTCAACTTTTTAGCGGTTTCCTGTAACCGGAGGTTGAACTTATTCTACTGTTGGTTTTTTTAAAGCCTATAGCTTAAGTACTGTTTTAGATAGATAAACGAGATTGCATAAATAAATAAAATCTCTAAGTCTCTGTCTTCTGTCAAATTTTGAGTAATAAAATGATTTATTAATTTGGCAGCATGGTTTTAGAGATTTTTTTAAAAAGTAGCACGTTTGGACGGGATGGAACCAGAAGTCCGATTTTTGTTTACGCCGTAAATTGATGACCCCTAATTTAAAATAAAAACCAACATGAACGAGATGTTACTTTAATGTTCACGGTTGACTCTTATATATGTAGGCTGTAGTGACCATCTACCACAGTATATGGGCATTGTGAGTCAATATAACTGCAAAATAACAACAGCTAAAGTACCACTGAATAACTAAAATTTTATAGAAATTAATTTTAATTGTTAATTTGCAATCACCCAGAAGATTCAGGGATAAATTCTTGCTATTAGTTGTCACAATGATGTCCCACACATAAAAACACTACCTCAACATAGGAAATGAATATTATTAGGGTATGGTCTTAGCATAAGAGGTTAAAAAGTATTTTAAGACGAAAAATAAACTTGCGTAAACTTTGTGTCTTAGAGATGTAACGTATTTTTTCTTTCTCTGTAAATATGTGCTGAAACCCATTTTAGCTTTAAATGGATGTTCATTTTAACTGGACTTTGTAATAATAGGTAAAACTTGGAATTGAAAACTGCTAACGGAAATTCAATTTTGAGAAAATCCTCTGTGTTTAAGAGCGCGTGCAACACGACTTCTATTACTAAGAATCCAGAAACAGGTTTCACGACATTTAATGGTCGCGTTATAAAAGTAGTAGACTGTCCAAGGGTGTTAGACACGGATATTGATAAAACTGATGCCGAAGAATTAGTTAAAGAAGCTTTACAGAACGTTATTTTTGCCAATACATCAGGCTATCACGCATTGTAGTCAAGTTCGCTCAATGTTTTACCAAGGAAGAACAAGATTCTATTGAAATTCTCAAAAGGATTTTGGGAACAGAGTTCATCAAAACCCACGGTATTGTCTTAATGTGCAACGGTGATACTTTTGAACATTTAAAAAAAAAACAAGGGTTAATTATTAAAGAATTTTGTAGACAACAAAAAGGATATTTTAAAACACTTTTTTAAAAGAATGCAAAAACAGAGTCATAGTGTTCAGTTATATAACAGAAGATGAAACAATTAAAAACAATCAATTAGAAACCCTAATCAAAGCTGTTGACTATATTAAAGCTAATACTAGCAAATAGGGCCTACATAACACAAGGTTTTCAAAAAGCAAACTATTTGACAGAATTAATCTCACATGAAAAGAAATTATTTACGTATCAAAGTTGGCTTTTGCAGAAATTACACAATGTTAAAAACAATGATACAACGGAAAATAAATTAACATCGTTAGATCGAATACAAAAGTGTGTAAACATATTATCATTTGAACTTCGCAAAATCAGCGATACTTCAGTTCTAATAAAAGAATTTAGGGAAAATGTGAAGCCACAAACACATATATTACAAACACCATCATCGCGTTATCACACACGATTTACAAATCAATAGTGCTGCTGAATCCGACCTATCGCTCGAAAACAATCACTTGCAAATAAATTGTAAAACAGAAGTGGCAAACGATTACAAATTTCAATCAAATAATGGATTTTATAAAAAGTGTTTAACAATTATAAAAAAAAAATTGGCATCAATTTGTTTGATTTAAACATATTGTATCCAACATTGTAAATACTGTATATAGTTAGCTGTATATATTTTTTTAAAAAGCCATTTCATTTTTATTGTTTTATGATTTCTAAACAAATCTATTTTTATTATTTTTATTTAACATCAATTTTGATTTGCATCATAGTGTTGGTTTAAAAACCTTAAAAAATTAATTGTGCGCATGTAAAGTAAGGATAAAAAATATTTCCTTTTCAGGTTTAAACTTGGCTGAAGATTTTATTACTTCTTCCTCTAACTAGTTGCTCACAATTTTTTAAATAATTAAAATGACAAAATAACGACGGGTTTGTATTGTGGGGACTAAATGTTGCAACATGATACCAAATT